AACACTGATGCATCTATTGAAACAAAAATGACTCCCCCCCCTTGCAAAGTGGATCCAACATTTATAAGCATCTATTTTATTCCATTCCATTCCATGTATTCTATGCTATATTTTATTATTCTATTCTATTCTATATTTTATTATTCTATTCTATTCTATTCTATTCTATTCTATATTTTATTATTCTATTCTATATTTTATTATTCTATTCTATTCTATATTTTATTACTCTATTCTATTCTATATTTTATTATTCCATTCTTATTCTATTCTATTCTATTCTATATTTTATTATTCTATTCTATTCTATATTTTGTTATTCTATTCTATTCTATTCTATTCTATTCTATTCTATTCTATTCCATTCTTATTCTATATTTTATTATTTTATTCAATTCTATATTTTGTTATTCTATTCTATTCTATATTTTATTATTCTATTCTATATTTTATTACTCTATTCTATTCTATATTTTATTATTCCATTCTTATTCTATTCTATTCTATTCTATATTTTATTATTCTATTCTATTCTATATTTTGTTATTCTATTCTATTATTCTATTCTATTCTATTCTATTCTATTCTATTCTATCCTATCCTATCCTATCCTATCCTATCCTATCCTATTCTATTCTATTCTATTCTATTCCATTCTTATTCTATTCTATTCTATTCTATTCTATTCTAATTCTATATTTTATTATTTTATTCAATTCTATATTTTGTTATTCTATTCTATTCTATATTTTATTATTCTATTCTATATTTTATTACTCTATTCTATTCTATATTTTATTATTCCATTCTTATTCTATTCTATTCTATATTTTATTATTCTATTCTATTCTATATTTTGTTATTCTATTCTATTATTCTATTCTATTCTATTCTATTCTATTCTATCCTATCCTATCCTATTCTATTCTATTCTTCTATTCTATTCTATTCTATTCTATTCTATTCTATTCCATTCTTATTCTATTCTATTATTCTATTCTATTCTATTCTATTCTATTCTATTCTATTCTATTCTATTCTATTCTATTCTATTCTATTCCATTCTTATTCTATTCTATTATTCTATTCTATTCTATTCTATTCTATTCTATTCTATTCTATTCTATTCTATTCTATATTTTATTATTCTATTCTATTCTATTCTATATTTTGTTATTCTATTCTATTTATTATATTCTATTCTATATTTTATTATTCCATTCCTATCCTACCCTACCCTATCCTATCCTCTGCAGGCAGCGCCCCTGTCTCCTCCAGGCCGTGGGTTCTCTAGAAGGGGGGCTGCCCACCCAACAAAGTGGGTAACGGCTGGCTGACCCCCTCCCCCCTCCCCAAGGGTCTCCCTCCCTCCGGGGGGGGGGGTCGCTAGGAAGGATGGCCTCTAGGTCAGGAACCAAGACGGTGTACGAGAGGTACTAGGCATACTAGACGTTCCAGTCGTACAGGACAGCCTCTAGACCTTCCCTAGTTCGCTTCCCACTCCCAGGGTCGTGCCTCCTTTTCGTTCAACAACGGGAAACACGTCAGCCCCTACTCTAGTCCGACTCCCCCAGGGGGAACCCACGGAGGTCAGGCTCCGAAGGAGGCTAGAGGGGCCTCCAGACCCACAGGGGGGGGGGTCAGATCCAGGTGGGACCCCCAACATTTCCATGTACCTTTTAAAGGATGCAAGAGAAGAAAGCCAGGTCGGTCTCCGGGGGGGGGGTGCTGAACGGTGCCTCACCCCCCCAGAGACCCCAATCCAGCCCCTTGATACCATCAGAATAACAGAGTTGGAAGGGACCTTGGAGGTCATCTAGACCAACCCCCTGCTCAAGCAGGAGACCCTAGACCATTTCAATCAATCAATCAATCAATCAATCAATCAATCAATCAATCAATCAATCAATCAATCAGAATAGAGCTGGAAGGGACTTTGGAGATCATCTAGTCCAACCCCCTGCTCAAGCAGGAGACCCTAGACCAGAGGTAGGCAACCTTGGCTCTTTTATGACTCGTGGACTTCAACTCCCAGAATTCCTGAGCCGGCATGGCTCAGCTTGGGAACCTCTCCCTTTCCCCTCAGCTTTGCTGGCTCAGGAATTCTGGGAGTTGAAATCCACGAGTCATAAAAGAGCCAAGGTGGCCTACCCCTGGCCTAAACCATTTCAATCAATGAATGAATGAATCAATCAATCAATGAATCAATCAATCAATCAATCAATCAATCAATCAATCAATCAGAATATTGCTGGAAGGGACCTTGGAGGTTATCTAGTTTCTACTTAATTCCAGGTTGCTTCTTTCTTGGGTTAGTTTCCACCCGTCACTTCTTGTCCTGCCTTCAGGTGCTTTGGAGAATAGCTTGACTCCCTCTTCTTTGGGGCAGCCCCTGAGATACTGGAAGACTGCTATCCTGTCCCCCCTCGTCCTTCTCTTCATTAAACTGGACATCCCCAATTCCAGCAACCGTTCCTTATATGTTTTAGCCTCCAGTCCCCTGATCATCTTTGTTGCTCTTCTCTGCACTCTTTCCAGAGTCTCAACATCTTTTTTTACATCGTGGTGACCACAACTGGACGCCGTATTCCAAGTGTGGCCTTACCAAGGCCTCATAAAGCAGTAGTAACACTTCATTCTGTCACTTGGGAACTTCCCCTCCCTCCCTCCCCCCCCCCCCCCCCCCCCCCCCCCCCCCCCCCCCCCCCCCCCCCGGCCTGGTTCAGCCGCTCACCGTCTCCGTTCTTAAAGATGATCTCGTGGTTTGTGAAGAGCAGTTCGGACATGATGTCCGGATTCTCCCAGTTGAGCCACAAGGGACGCTTGGCCGAGGACATGATCCGGCACTCGTCCAGCCTGCAGGGGAGGCAAGGCCCAGGTTGGGGGGGCCAGCTAGAAGACCCCCTCCCCATCCCGGGCTGCCTCCCACCACCCACTCTCCCCCCACCCAAAAGGAGCCCTGCCTGGGCTCTCACCGGAGGTTGCCCAGCTGGTGGACGGGGTTGAGCGGGCAGATGAAGCCCTGGAGGGCCTCCATGTAGTCCGGCCGCCTCATCTGCTCCACCAGGAACTTCATCTGCATCTGAACAGAAGGGAATAACAGAGTCGGAAGGGGCCTCGGAGGTCATCTAGCCCAGCCCCCTGCTCAGGAAGGATAATCTCTCTCATTTCTGACAAATGGCTGTCCAGTCTCTTCTTAAAAACTTCCAGTGTTGTAGAAGGGAAGGAGGGAGGGAGGGAGAGAGGGAGGGAGGGAGGAAAAAGGAAGGAAGGAGGGAGGGAGGGAAGGAAGGAAGAATAACAGAATAACAGATGGAAGGGACCATGGAGGTCATCTAGTCCAACCCCCTGCTCAGGCAGGAAACTTTATTTCATTTCATACAAATGGCTGACCAGTCTCTTCTTAAAAACTTCCAGTGTTGGAGAAGGGAAGGAGGAAGGAAGGAAGGAAGGAAGGAAGGAAGGAAGGAAGGAAGGAAGGAAGGAAGGAAGGAAGGAAGGAAGGAAGGAAGGATGGATGGATAACAGAATAACACTCGGAAGGGACCTCGGAGGTCATCTAGCCCAACCCCCTGCTCAGGCAGGATAATCTCTCTCATTTCAGAGAAAGGGCTGTCCAGTCTCTTCTTAAAAACTTCCAGGGTTGGAGAAGGGAGGGAGGGAGGGAGGGAGGGAGGGAGGAAGGAAGGAAGAATAACAGAATAACAGAGTTGGAAGGGACCTTGGAGGTCATCTAGTCCAACCCCCTGCTCAGGCAGGAATACCATTTCAGATAAATGGCTGCCCAGTCTCTTCTTAAAAACTTCCAGTGTTGGAGAAGGGAAGGAGGAAGGAAGGAAGGAAGAATAACAGAATAACACTCGGAAGGGACCTCAGAGGTCATCTAGCCCAACCCCCTGCTCAGACAGGATAATCTCTCTCATTTCAGAGAAAGGGCTGTCCAGCCTCTTCTTAAAAACTTTCCAGTGTTGGAGAAGGGAGGGAGGGAAGTTTTTCTTGCCCCCCAGGAGGAGGGGGTGGAGGACAGAAGCCCCTCTGAGTCACCAGCCGGGCACCGCGGGGGCCACAGGGTCTCTCTGCAAACCACCCCATCTCCTTCTCGCCCTTCGAGACAATCCCCCCACCCACCCACTGGGTCCTCCCTCCCCACCCCCGGAAGGCACCTTCTGGGTCTCGTCCTTCTTCTCTTGCTTCAGGATGTCGGTCAGATTGATGAGCTTCTCCATGGCCTCCACCTGCCGGTTCAGGTGCTTCAGGTACATCCCGCAGCCCCGGCAGAAGGCCTCCAGCATCAGCCCGAAGCGTTGGGAGATCGGCTTGCTGTGCATTTCCGACCTGGGGAGGGGGAGACAACCGTGGCGATCCGGGCTCCCCTTCAGGGTCCATCGACAGGGACCGGTTTAAATCAGGGGTCTTCAAACTTGGCAACTTTTAAGACGGGTGGACTTCAGCTCCCAGAATTCCCTAGCCAGCATACTCGTTGTGGCCCTGCTTACTCTCCTATAATCCCTTCCTCTCCAACCTCTCCACTTTAAGGGATAGGTGAGGACGTGAAATAGGGCAGGGGTCTCCAACCTTGGCAACTGTAAGACTGATGGACTTCCAACTCCCAGAATTCCCCAGCCAGCATACTCCTTGTGGCCCTGCTTACTCTCTTATAATCCCTTCCTCTCCAATCTCTCCGCTTTAAGGGATAGGTGAAAAAAAAACCAGGCATGGCTGGCTGGGGAATTCTGGGAGTTGAAGTCCACCGGTCTTAAAAGTTGCCAAGTTTGAAGACCCCTGATTTAAATTAATAAGAGGCCAGTTCTTGCTTCACCCCTTAGTCTGAACTGCCAACGACAGGGCTGCAATTACAGGTGAGTCCTCGGCTTACGACCACGATGGAACCCAACGTTTCTGGTGCTAGGTGAGACCGTTGTTGAGATTGTTATAAGTCAAAGACAGCCTGCATTCCGAACTACCAATTATTGGAAAAAATGAATTGAACTGGGGCAGAATTTATTTGGGACGCTGTTTTGCTCCTTTTAAAAGAGTTTTTTTTTAAAAAAAAGTCTTACCGTGGGAAATCCAGCTTAAAAACCGTAAAAGATCGATAACTGAAGCCAGGGCTGGCTACAGCTCACCCTGTCAATCTTTTGCAAGCCCCATCTGGTGCCCCCAGCCCCTCCACCCAGGCCGGCTGCCTCCCCCAGACTCACTTCAGATGCCAGAAGTAAAAATGGCCGATCCTCTGGTTGGTGAGGGCCTTCATGGTGAGGAAGCGGGCCAGGGGATTGTCCAGGTACTGTTCGTATTTGAGGACCTGGGAGGAAACAACGGACAAGTCAGAGGGAGGGGGCAGAGCTGGCACCGGAGGGGGGGAGAGGGGGGAGGACCAAGGAAAGGAAAGAGATCCTATTTATGGTAAAGGGTCTCCTGCCTGAGCAGGGGGTTGGACTAGATGACCTCCGAGGTCCCTTCCAACTCTTGTCATTCTGTTTTTGAGAAGAGATTGGAACCTGAAATAATACAGGATCTCCTGCCTGAGTGGGGGGTGGGTGGGTCTAGATGACCTCCAACGTCCCTTCCAACTCTGTCATTGTGTTTTTAAGAAGAGAATGGAAGCTACTTTGTCTGAAATAATACAGGGTCTCCTGCCTGAGTACGGGGTGGGTCTAGATGACCTCCAAGGTCCCTTCCAACTCTGTTATTCTGTTTTTGAGAAACAATTTGAAACTACTTGTCTAAAATAATATAGGGAATCCTGCCTGAGCAGGGGTTTGGACTAGATGACCTCCAAGGTCCCTTCCACCTCTGTCATTCTGTTTTTGAGAAGAGATTGGAACCTGAAATAATACAGGGTCAACTGCCTGAGCAGGGGGTTGGGCTAGATGACCTCCAAGGTCCCTTCCAACTCTGTCATTCTGTTTTTGAGAAACAATTTGAAACTACTTGTCTAAAATAATATAGGGAATCCTGCCTGAGCAGGGGTTTGGACTAGATGACCTCCAAGGTCCCTTCCACCTCTGTCATTCTGTTTTTGAGAAGAGATTGGAACCTGAAATAATACAGGGTCTCCTGCCTGAGCAGGGGGTTGGACTAGATGACCTCCAAGGTCCCTTCCAACTCTGTCATTCTGTTTTTGAGAAGAGATTGGAACCTGAAATAATACAGGGTCAACTGCCTGAGCAGGGGGTGGGTCTAGATGACCTCCAAGGTCCCTTCCACCTCTGTCATTCTGTTTTTGAGAAGAGATTGGAAGTTACTTTGTCTGAAATAACATAGGGGCTCCTGCCTGAGCATGGGGTGGGTCTAGATGACCTCGAAGGTCCCTTCCAGCACTCCAATTCTGTTAATCCGTTTTTAAGAAGAGATTGGAACCTGAAATAATACAGGGTCAACTGCCTGAGCAGGGGGTGGGTCTAGATGACCTCCAAGGTCATCTACCTGCACCAGCTGGATGAGGTACTGGGAGAGCTTGTCGTCGGTCAGTCCCTTGACCAGGCACTTCAGGGCGAACTCGCGGATGACCGGATCCGGGAAATTGCAGTCCAGCAGCTCCATGGAGAGCTCCGGCTTGATCAGCGGCCATTCCCGCAGGAGGCAGTACATCTGGGGGGGGGACAGGTGGTGGGGGGAAACAGAGAATGGTATAATTCAGGGGTAGGCAACCTTGGCTCTTTTATGACTTGTGGACTTCAACTCCCAGAATTCCTCAGCCAACATGGGGGAACTATGGCTCCCTTGATGACTTAAAGACTTCAACTCCCAGAATTCCTCAGCCAGCCATGCCTGGTTTTTTTCCCTATTTCTTAGAGCGGAGAGATTGCTGAGGAAGGGATTACAAGAGAGTAAACAGCTTCTGAGAGTTGAAGTCCACCAGTCATAAGAGCCACGGTTGCCTACCCCTAGTATAGTTCATGGCGGGGGTCTCCCGAGCCTGCCGGAAGGTTCCCGGTGCTGCCAACTCTAGAGCGTTCTCGACTTAACGGTCACAATGGAGGTCAACATTTCCGCCGCTAAGCGAGACATTGGCTAAGCGAGTTTTGCTCCAGTCTGCGACTTTTCTTGCTGCGGTTCTTAAGTGAATCGCAAATACTGGAGGCTTTTAAGAAAAGAGATTTGGACAGCCCTTTGTCTGAAACGGGATAAGGTTTCCTGCCTGAGCAGGGGGGGTGGACTAGAAGACCTCCAAGGTCCCTTCCGACTGTGATTCTGCAAGGATTTCCTATCTGAGCAGGGGGCTGGGCTAGAGGACCTCCAAGGTCCCTTTTTTCAGTGCCGTTGTAACTTTGAACGGTCACTAAACGAATTGTTGTGTGTCAAGGACGGCCTGTAAAATGTGAGACGGCTGCTTTAAAGGGCAGGGAGCTCACAGCGCCCAATCAAGGAGGCCCAGAGGAGCAATTTGGGGAGGGGGCATCTGCCTGCCAGGAGCCAAACCGTCAGTGGCTGCTCTCCCCCCTCCCCCTGCAAATTTCCCATGGGCCCCGGCTGGAGCGCAAAGGATGCTGGTCTCCGCTCACCTGGGCCACCTCGTCTCGCGAGTTCCACTTGACGGACAGCAGCAACTTGGGCAGGGTCTCCGGGATGTTAAGGCAGTAGTGCCTGGAAGGAGAGGGGGGGCTGTGGAAGGCAAGGCCGGGCCGGGGTGGGGGACAGCCCCTCTCAGCTGTCCAACCCCTCTCGGCTGTCCGGCACCCACCCACCCACCACCCACTCACCGGTGGCGCCAAAGGAAGTCCTTCTCCTGCTCCGTGATCTCCGACAGGGGGTCCCGGTTGCAGACATTGCGTAGCTGCTCCAGTTCGCTCTCGTCCAATGAGCTGTCGCGGGCCAGGCGGTTGCTCTGGAAGAGGGTGTGGGGGGGGGGAGAGATGTCAGCCCCCTCCCCTTTATGGATCATAGCAAGACAGAACCAGTTAGAACACCGTTTCCCAACTGTGGCAATTTTCAGGTGGGTGGACTTCAACTCCCAGAATTCCCCAGCCAGCCGTGCCTGGGTTTTTTTTTCTCCTATCCCTTAAAGGGGAGAGATTGGAGATGAAGGGATTATAAGAGAGTAAGCAGGGCCACAACGAGTATGCTCACTATTCCAGGGATCTCCATCCTTGGCCAATTCAAGACTGGTGGACTTCAACTCCCAGAATTCCCCAGCCGGCCATGCCTGTTTCTTTTTCTCCTATCCCTTAAAGCGGAGAGATTGGAGAGGAAGGGATTATAAGAGAGTAAGCAGGGCCACAATGAGTATGCTGGCTGGGGAATTCTGGGAGTTGAAGTCCACCCACTGCGACCGTCATAAATACGAGTTGGTTGCTAAAGCATCCAAATTCGGATCACGGGACCAGGGGGAATGTTGCAGTGGCCGTACGTCTGAAAAACGCTCGGTTTTTTTCACTACTGTTGGAACTTCGGTCGCTAAATGAACTTTTCATAAGTCTGGGACTCCTTGTATAAGGTTGCCCACCCTACAGGGCAACAGACGTATCTGGCTTTCCCGTAGAATCTAGGCCGGAGAGGACCTTGGGGGTCTCCTTGTCCGACCCCCCGCCCAGGGAACCCTCAGCCGGAGCTGCCCTACTGCGGCCTGGCACGCCGAGCAGGGCCCGTGGCCCCCTTACCAAGCCCACCATACAGTAGTTGAGGCCCAGCTCCCGCGACATGGCCCAGTTGGCGTGTTCCTCGATTTCGGCACCATCAGCAAATTTCACCGGGTGGCTGTACCAGGTGAATTCCAGTTCCAGGCACGGGGTCTCCTGTAGCAGCAAAGAAGAGGTCAACTACCCCCCCTCCTGGAAGCCGGGTACCCCTTTCCCCTCCCACCCAGCCCCGATGTGGAGGGTCCCACTGATCAGCCAACTCCCACGGAAGTCACCCCCCTCGTGGGTGGTCTCACCTTGTTTGGATTGGACCCCCCGACTCCGATGGGATTCAGCAAGTCCTCCAGGCCGTGGGGGACCGGCCACAGGTTGAGGGCCATCTTGCCACCCACCAGGGTGTCCTTGTAGTCAAAGAGGTTGATGTTGCCCCAGGCCAGGGGGCAGTGCTCCTGCGGAGGGAAAGGGGGGGACGGGGTCAGAGAACGTTGGCCACCGTCCCTCAAGCTGACGCTGAGCATCGCTGAACCTTCAGCAGAGCGGCCTTTCTTGAAGGAGGGAGCTGGGGCGGGGAGGATGTGGAATAGGCCAGGGGTCTCTGTGGCAACTGTAAGACTGGCGGACTTCAACCCCCAGAATTCCCCAGCCAGCATACTCATTGTGGCCCTGCTTACTCTCTTATAATCCCTTCGTCTCCAATCTCTCCGCTTTAAGGGATAGGAGAAAAAAAAAACAGGCATGGCTGGCTGAGGAATTCTGGGAGTTGAAGTCCACCAGTCTTAAATTGGCCAAGGATGGAGACCCCTGGAATAGTGAGCATACTCGTTGTGGCCCTGCTTACTCTCTTATAATCCCTTCGTCTCCAATCTCTCCGCTTTAAGGGATAGGAGAAAAAAAAAAACAGGCATGGCTGGCTGAGGAATTCTGGGAGTTGAAGTCCACCAGTCTTAAAGTGGCCAAGGATGGAGACCCCTGGAATAGGGAACCCACAGTGAGGCGGGGGGGCACTGCCACCCACCCTCAGCCGGGGGTTTTCAGCACAATATGCCGAAGATGGCAGTATTAGGATAAACTGTTTTTTATCTGAATTTTTTCAACTATCAAAAGCAGGCAAGTACACACAGGCAGTCCTTGATTTTACAACCCTTCGTTCAGTGACCATTTTTAAGGTACAACGTCACTGAAAAGTGACTTACGACCGTTTGTCACCCTTAACAACCGTTGCAGCATCCCTGTGATCACGTGATCAAAATCCGGACGCTGGGCAACGGACTCGTCTTTATGACGGTCGCGGGGTCCCTTTGGCGACCTTCCGACGGGCGAAGTCAAGGGGGAATCCAGGCTCACTTAACAGCCGCGTGACAAGCTTAACGACTGCAGTGATTCACTTAGCAACGACGGTCGTAAAGTGGGGCAAAATTCACTTCACCACTGTCTCGCTTAGCCACAGAAATTTTGGGCTCTGTCGTGGCCGTACCTGGGGCTTCGCTGAAGTTCCGGTCCAACGGTGGGGCTGCCCCCCAACACTCACCTCTTTGGCCCCCTTCCGGCCCTTGACGGAGCAGATGGACACGCAAAGACGAGCCGCACGCGGCAGGTCGGTCAGGTAGATGTCGTACGAAAGCCATTCGTTCCACCTGGGAGCAAAACGGCGGCACTGGAATCAGCCGAGCAGCAAGATGTCCCCCCTGCTTGGGTTCCCGGTTGTTTTCCGTCCCCACCTTAAGGAGACACCACCTCTGCCCCCTGCCCCCCAGGCTGGCCGTGCCAAGGAGCTTCCTGCCCTTGCCGGGGCCATGGGCACTGCTGCTCAGGCCGGGCACAGCGGCCTCTCCCTTCTCCCGCCCTTACCGAGGGTTCGAGCACGGCACGCGCTGAGTGTTGACGTTGTCACAAAGCGGTTCGCCACCGTGGAAAATTCCCGTCCGGACATAGATCTAGGACAAAGGGAGAGCGGAATGAAAGGCTTCGCCTGCTTGAAATCCGCTCCAGGGAGCCCTCGACGTACGACCGTTCATTTAGTGAATGTCCGAAGTTATGACAGCCCTGAAAAAAGCAACTCCAGACCCTTTTTCAACTTTACGGCTATTGCAGCCTCCCCAGGGTCACACGATCCAAATTCAGACACTTGGTAACTGACTCCTATTTACGACGGTTGCAAATCCCGGGGTGATCGGCTTTTGTGACCTGCTGACGGGCAAAGTCCATGGGAAAGCCGGATTCACTTAACAACCACGTTACTTGCTTAACAACCACAACGATTGCCTAAACGACTGTGGCAAGAAAGGTTGTCAAACGGGGCAAAACCCGCTTAACAAATGTCTTGCTTAGCAAAAGGCATTTTGGGGCTCAATGGTGGTCATAAGTTGAGGACTCCCTGTAGTTACTTCCTCTCCCAGTGGTTGAGGATTATGGGCGGTGACGCCTAGCATTGGTAGCAAACTATGGAAGACTGAGGACGGTATGCAAGCCGGCACATCCTTCTGTACTTGTGAGCAGCTGATGGCTACGAGAGGGAGCTTCGCTCTGCTCCGGTGGGTCCCCCATTCCGGCATTCCCAATCTCTTTCCCTGGAGTTTTTCAGGGACCCACATCTAATTGACTGGAATCATGTGGGGTGAAATGCAGAGGCGGTCACTTCAGCCAATAAGAAGCTGCTGCTGTCGGGTCAACACAATCGACCTTATACGAAAAGATGGAAACTGACCGGGCTGCTGAGCCAGATCAAGGAACGCCCCCAATAATTTCAGGAGGCAGCGTGGACCTAAACTCGCCCACCTTATCTATGTCCCTGATGTTCACGTTCACGTAGGTGGCGCACAGGATCTTGATGCGCAGGAGGCTGTTGATGGACCAGAGGGACTTGGTGGGCACGTCTCCGTTCACGTGCGAGGAGGTGGCTGACCGGCGCGCGTACGAGGGCAGCACGAAGACGTTGGCCGGCAGTTGGCTGTAGAGGCTCTCCTTGCTCATCAGCATCAGGTGGGGCAGGCGGCCGATGGCGATGCAGTTCCTCATGTACTGCAGGAAGAAGGGAACACCGGAGGTCAGGAGGAGGAGAGACCAGGCAGCGTCAAGACCGCACAACAGCTTCAGCAGAGATTCGGGCCCGATTCGTTTATTCGTTCTTCTGGCTACTTCTGACCCCCAAATTCTAATCTCAGAAGCGCCTCTTCCTGGCCACCCCTGCTCTGCACGTCGGGAGAGAGCCACGCCGAAGAGGACAAGGAAGAAGAGACAGCTCTTCAGCTGTCCTCACCCCGTTGTCTTCTGCAGCCAACCCCACCCCACAGAAGGTGGTACAACTCTTGAGGAGGACAATCTCGGAGTCTTTTTACCCCGGCGGTGGATTCTGCAGCACCCAAAGCTTCCGGGGTCCTTCTGAAAGGGAGCCCTGCATGTCTGGGGCAACTGGATTCAAAGGACAGACTTTTGATGGGAGCAAGGGGGCCCACCAGACCAGCAAGGCAAGTCACGGGTCCCATTGACTAGGAATCGTCATCTGGGGGGACCGTGAAAAAGGGCCTTCTTGGTGACAGCCCCTCTCATGCTGTGGTAGGCCTCCACCCTGCTTCTTCTCCAAAGGCCCTCTAAAAATTTGGTTTGGTCAACGGGCCTGAAGTCGCCTATATGTGAGTTGGGTGGCCCTATAAATTTCATAGATAGATGGATGGATGGATAGATGATAGATAGATAGATAGATAGATAGATAGATAGATAGATAGATAGATAGATAGATGATGGATGGATGGATGGATGGATGGATGGATGGATGGATAGATAGATAAGAATTTTTTGCTCTGAGCGGGGAATGGCCTCAAGGCTTCCCTTGGACCCTTCTATCTTCTATCTAGGAGGCTGGCCCTCCTCTTCCTCTTCCTCCTATTCTCTTCTTCTTTCTTCTCCTCTTCCTCTTTCTCCTCCCCCTCCCATGCATTATTAGAATTACTACTTAGAGCAGGACTCTCCAAACGCTTTAAAACTCCCCTGGGACTAATGCCCTCCTTTCGATAGGTATACCAATGGCGGCCTGTTTTACTCTCTTGTGATCCCTTCCTCTGCAATCTCTCCACTCTCTGTTCTGCTCTAGGAAGTAGGAGGAAAGAAAATGGCTGGCTGAGGAATTCTGGGAGTTGAAGTCCACAAGCCTTAAACGTGGCCAGGTTTGGAGACCCCTGACTTCAAGGCTGAGAAAAAATATATGTATAAAAAAGGCACACTCCCTCAACACAACCACAGGGACCCCACCAACACTCTTGACCCTAGCTTGGGGGTAAAAAAATACAGCAAAGTTTTCAAAGTCCTCCAGACCAGGGGTCCCCAACCCTCGGTCTGTGGACCGGTACCGGGCCGTGGCATGTCAGCAACTGCTCCGCACAAAAAACCACGCACTTTCCAATCCGTTGGAAAACCTCTCTCCACGGAACCGGTTATCCCTGGTGCCCAAAAGGTTGAGGACTTCTGCTTCAGACCACCAGCAGGATGAGAGCTGAAGGACTTCATGTGTGTGTTTGTGTGTGTGTGTGTGTTTTTGTCTGTGTGCCATTCCAGAGCGAGAAGACCCGCTTCCTGGTTCCCGAGAGATGGTTCCTGTTGGATCGACTGGACCCCGACGACAACAGGAGCCCCCCCCAAAGTGCTGAGAAAGGCCGTCTCGTCGTAGGCTTCCCCCCCTCACGAGTGGAACATGACCGACTCCCCCATGAAGAGGTCGTTTATGAGCAGCGTCGGCGTCTGGAACTCGTTCATGAACGGGACCATGAGGACGTGCGTTTCCGCGTCGACAAGCCCGCTCTCCACGTACGACGCGCAGAAGAAGGCCTACCGGAGCCGCTAGTGGACGAGCCCGTCGCGGTCGTGGGGCGTCTTGAGGGTGTATTTCTGTTTGTCGTTGTTTGGGGACACAATAACCCAAATGGTCACTATGATCCGACCTTCAGGGATGGGGGGGGAAAAGCAGGACAAGCAACGGTCACTCGGGTGCGTCCGCGGGAGGCCAAGCGCGGGAGAAAATAAAATCAAGGGGAGGGGAACTGGGACCCGTATGCAGTTGTGCGGCAGCCACAGCTCCGGGATTGTTGACATTGTAAGCTGCGCCAGAGTTATCCCGTGGTAAAGATGGGCAGCCAATAAATTTTTACAAATTGATTAATGAACTAATAAACCTGGGAAGATCACAACTGACATGAGTTTTCTCTTTTGGCAGGAATCGTCCTATTCCCAGAAGCATTTTAGAAAAAAATGGGAAAATCTTCTTAGACCTGATTTAATTTTGTTTTATTTCTTGACTTACAAACACTTTTAGGCGCCTGCGATCTACTCCTCTCTAAGCCCTGATCAGTCAGCACAACAGATCAGGGGTCTCCAAGCTTGGCCCCCCCTTTAAGACTTGTGGACTTCGACTCCCAGAATTCCTCAGCCAGCCATGCCTGGTTTTTTCCCCCCTCTCTCCTACTTCCTAGAGTGGAGAGATTGCAGAGGAAGGGATTACAAGAGAGTAAACAGGCCACAATGGGTATACCTGTCAAAAGGAATGCAGGAGTCCCAGGGAATTCTGGGAGTTGAAGTGCACAAGTCTTAAACCGGACAATCTGGAGACCCCTGCAGTAAATCACAATTCTAATTCTGACCCCCCCCCCCCGATAAATATAAGGCAGCTTCAGCCCACAAGGCAGCATTTGTGGAGCATTATCTTATTCAGACAGCCAAATCTTTGANGCAGCATCCGAAGGGGGGGAGTGCTCACCTTGTACTGGCTGAGGGGGTACTTCTCCAGCAAATACTCGTCGCAGCCGCAGACCTTGAGCAAGTACTTGCCCTGGTACTCCTGCACGCAAAGGCGCAGCTGTTCGGGCGAGAGGTGCATGCTGCGCGTCTTCTTCCGGATGGCCTCGGCGATCACCTGCTCGGGCAGCGCATCGTGGGGCGTCTTGAGGGTGTATTTCTGTTTGTCGTTGTTTGGGGACACAATAACCCAAATGGTCACTATGATCCGACCTTCAGGGAGGGGGGGGGAAAAGCAGGACAAGCAACGGTCACTCGGGTGCGTCCGCGGGAGGCCAAGCGCGGGAGAAAATAAAATCAAGGGGAGGGGAACTGGGACCCGTATGCGGTTGTGCGGCAGCCACAGCTCCGGGATTGTTGACATTGTAAGCTGCGCCAGAGTTATCCCGTGGTAAAGATGGGCAGCCAATAAATTTTTACAAATTGATTAACTAACTAATAAACCTGGGAAGATCACAACTGACATGAGTTTTCTCTTTTGGCAGGAATCGTCCTATTCCCAGAAGCATTTGAGGAAAAAATGGGAAAAATCTTCTTAGACCTGATTTAATTTTGTTTTATTTCTTGACTTACAAACACTTTTAGGCGCCTGCGATCTAGTCCTCTCTAAGCCCTGATCAGTCAGCACAACAGATCAGGGGTCTCCAAACTTGGCCCCCCTTTAAGACTTGTGGACTTCGACTCCCAGAATTCCTCAGCCAGCCATGCCTGGTTTTTTCCCCCCTCTCTCCTACTTCCTAGAGTGGAGAGATTGCAGAGGAAGGGATTACAAGAGAGTAAACAGGCCACGATGCGTATACCTGTCAAAAGGAATGCAGGAGTCCCAGGGAATTCTGGGAGTTGAAGTCCACAAGTCTTAAACCGGACAATATGGAGACCCCTGCAGTAAATCACAATTCTAATTCTGATCCCCCTCCCATAAATACAAGGCAGCTTCAGCCCACAAGACAGCATTTGTGGAGCGTTATCTTGTTCAGACAGCCAAATCACTCCATCTACGGGTATTCCCCGAGTTATGACCGCAATGGAGCCGGCCCATCGTGGTCAAAATTCGTGACAGACATCAAAGAGGCTCGTCACATGACCAGCTGGATTTTTTTCGAGCTTTTTAGCTACACACCTCAAGCAAGTCTACAGTTGTCAAGCGAACGGCATGGATCTTAAGTGAGCCCACGGCAAAACCACCGTAAAACACAGTCACATGACTGTGGGACGCTGCAAACAACCAACTGGGGTCCAGTTGTGACTCCCCCAAATGTGGTCACGTGGCTGCAGGAAGGCGAGCGTCAGAAGTTTTGAGTCCAGGTTGTAAATACAGACTTGGCTAAATCTGCCGGGACTATGAAGGTTTTGCTAAACAATCGGCCTCAAGTTGACCCGGGGTTGCAATTACAGGGAGTCCTCTACTTACGACCCCAAAATTTCCATCGCTAAGTGAGACATTTGTTCAGTGAGTTTTGCCCCGTTTTATCACCCTTCTTGCCCCGGTTGTTAAGTGAACCCCTGCAGGAGTTCAGTGACTAACACGGTCGTTAAGCAAAGCTGGCTTTTTCCCCTTCGACGTTGCTTGTCAGACAGCCGCAAAAGGGGATCCCATGACCCCCGGGACGCTGCAACCGTCATAAATACGAGTCAAGCGTCTGAATTTGGATCACGTGACCCTGGGGGGAATGCCGCAACGGTCACAAGTGTGAAACATGATCCTGGTCACTTTTTTTCAATGCGGCTGTAACTTCAAACGGTCACTAAAGGAACAGTCGTAAGTTGAGGACTGCCTGTAGATCTTTGCAAGCTTTGAGAAGCCGAGGACCACTTTGGGGCACTCCTCCCGTCAGATAATCCGCGGACCGTCTGCAGGTGATTTACACCTGGCAGAGGCAGCACTGAGCATGCCCAGAACCACATGCAGTTTATCGGGAATAAACGGTGCCTCGGAAACAAACTGGAAACTGAGGCAGCTTTGACTTCTCCCCAACCTGCTGCCTCCCCCGCCGGGCTCACCTTTGTCCAACTTGCTGTACAGGTGTTTGGGCAGGTCAGGGCTGGATTCCACGTTGGGGGGGTAGACGTACAAGGCCTGGCTTTGGGGTCCCGTTGACCCTCTCGTCTCCACCGCCTCGCGGCAGACGGAGAGGATGTTGCGCCGAAATTCCTGCACCTCGGGGTCTTTCACCAGCTCAAATTCGCAGATGGGCATCCCGATGGCAAAGCCTTTGGAGCGAAGATTTTTGATTAGTTTGTTTATCAAAAGTATTTATTCGTTCTCGTTGTTTTTTTTAATGCTGTTCAGGAGATTGCAATACCAAATGCAAAAGAAAAAAAAAATGAACCGCAGAAAAGGATATTAAAAAAAATAAATGTGCATTAAAAATGTGAATTCACTTTTTTTTTAAATATTCTAGTCTAGTTTTGTTTTGCCTCTGTTTAATGTTTTTTTTTTCTTTTGTATTTTGTATTTTAATATTTTGAATGAAATAAGGAGGGACAAAAAATATATTTATTGGACGCTTGTCTCTCACCGCAGAGTAACTCTGGGCAGCTTACAATATTAAAAGGATAAAACTGTACAAAACCTATACAGATATGAATAAAATAGTGTAAAAATATAAATACTTAACCTTAATGTTGTCTGGATTCTAACGGAATTGTTTTTAGAATAGAATAGAATAGAATAGAATAGAATAGAATAGAATAGAATAGAATAGTGATAAGAATAGAATAGAATAGAAAATAGAATAGAAAATAGAATAGAATAGAATAGAATAGAATAGAATAGAATAATGATAAGAATAGAATAGAAAATAGAATAGAAAATAGAATAGAATAGAATAATGATAAGAATAAAATAGAATAGAAAATAGAATAGAATAGAATAGAATAGAATAATGATAATAGAATAGAATAGAAAATAGAATAGAATAGAATAGAATAGAATAATGATAAGAATAGAATAGAATAGAAAATATAATAGGATAGAATAGAATAGAACCTGGAGGGGACCTTGGAGGTCTTCTAGTCCAGCCCCCCACTCAAGCAGGAGAACCTACACCGTCTCAGACAGGTGATTGTCTAGTCTCTTCTTAAAAACCTCCAGTGATGGAGCACCCACAATTTCTGGTGGCAAGTTGTTCCACTGGTTAATTGTCAGGAAGTTTCTCCTTAATTCCAGGTTGCTTCTCTCCTTGATCAGTTTCCAACCCTTGTTTCTCGTCCTTCCCTCTGGTGCTTTGGAGAATAACGTGACCCCCCTCCTCTTTGTGGCAGTCCCCCCCACAAATACTGGGCTGATCTGGGCCCCCGATTCATCAGAGACCGGGATCAATGGGGAATGCCGGGCCACGAATCGTGTGACGCAGGCGGCCTCCCTTCTCCCCACCCTGGGACTCCCCCCACCCACCCAGGTGTGGTGGGCCTGGCCTGGACTGACCGATCTCCCGGTTGAGGATCTTCTCCTCCCGGTTTCCCATGGGCTCCACCACCTTCAGGATCGGCTGGAAGAGGCGCAGGTCACACAGACGCCGAGACTCGTCGAAGAATTCCTCCCGTTCGGCTTCTTGGGTGACCCCCACAAAGATGTAGGACGATTCCTCCTACAAAACCAAGGGGAGAAGGAATTGGGGAGGGGTAAAGGAGCCCCCAGAAACAGACCCCCCTCTTTTCATACAGGCAAGTGCTTGACTTACAACAGCTCGCTCCGTTCAAAGTTACAACAGGACGAAAAAAAAGAGACTTACGGCCGTTTTTCACACTTATGACCGTTGCATGTGAACAAAATGCGGACGCTCAGCAACCGACTCACATTTATGACGGTCGCAGTGTCCCGGGAGGGGCCACACAATCCCCTTTTGCGACCTTCTGACAAGCAAACTCAATGGGGGGGAGCCGGATTCGCTTAACGACCGAGTGACTCGCTTAACAACCGCAGCGATTCACTTAACGGCTGCGGCGAGAAAGGTCGTAAAATGAGGCAAAAACCCCCTTGACTGTCTCTCACACGGCCACTGAAATCTGGGTCTTCAATCGGAGCCCGTTGCCAATTGTCTGAATTGACCACAGGGATGGCTGCGACGGCCGTTAAGTGTGAAAAAAAAATAGCCCTAGGTCCCTTTTTTCAGTGCCGTCGTAACTCTGAATGAATTGTTGTAAAGGTTGTAAAGGTGTTACCTGTACACATTTGGAAGCCAGCGCGTTCTTCCCCAAACGGGGGGAGGGTCTGATTCTCGCGCCTTTCTCTTTAGCTCCTCAACTACCCTCCAATAAATTGGTGCCCCTCCCCTTTGGTTTATTTAATAATATTAATAATAATAATAAAGTTGGAAGGGACCTTGGAGGTCATCTAGTCCAACCTCCTGCTCAGGCAGGTAACCCTACACCATTTCAGACAAATGGCTGTCCAGTCTCTTCTTAAAAACTTCCAGTGTTGGAGCATTCACTGCTTCTGGAGGCAGGTGGTTCCACTGGTTAATTGTTCTAACTGGCCAGGTGTGTTACCTGCCCTGGGCTCACCTGCAGCAGGTGGAAAAGCGGATACTTCCTGGCCTCCTTGAAGAGGTCCTGCTTGATGCCCCGGAGCGTGGCCTCCCGCAGGCATTCCAGGGTGACCATCATCCCGTTGGGCAGGCAGCAGTCCACCATGATCCGGGGGGGCATGAGGTGGAGCCCCCATAGCTCTCCGGAGGACGGCCGGGGTGGCATGGCCACGAGCGGGAGGGAGGGCCTCGGCACGTTGACGGAGTTGCGGCGGGGGGGTCAAAGCATCCCGGCTCACCTGGGGGGTAAGGAGGAGGGAGAGGAGGGTCTGGTGTTGGACGCTGTGCTAAACCGTGGCTTATCTGCATCCTTGGTGGAGTAAATGAATTGGTCGGTGTGGTGGCCTAACGGCCGAGCCCAAATCTCACCCACCCCGTTGTGACTTTCAGAGGGGGTGAAGATCAAGAACCAGAGTTTTGGATCTCCCTCAACACCCAAAGGGGTGGTGGTGGTGGTGGTGGAGGAGGAGGAGGAGGAGGAGGAGGAGGAGGAAAAACAAGACTATGGGGTCCTTGGTGCTCTCTAAGCTGCCTTTTTCTCTTGCAGACGTTTCATGACCCAATTAGGTAATATCCTCAGTGGGGGGGGGATTGCAGGAGGGAGGAGGAGGAAGGAAGGAAGGTAGGAAGGAGGGAAGGAAGGAAGGAAGGAAGGAGGAAAGGAGGGAAGGAAGGATGAGAGGAAGGAGGGAAGGAAGGAGGGAAGGAAGGAGGGAAGGAAGGAGGAAAGGAAGGAAGGATGAGAGGAAGGAAGGATGAAGAAAGGATGAGAGGAAGGAAGGAAGGAAGGATGAGAGGAAGGAGGGGAGGAAGAAGGGGAGGAAGGAAGGATGAGAGGAAGGAGGGAAGGAAGGAGGGAAGGAAGGAAGGATGAGAGGAAGGAAGGATGAGAGGAAGGAAGGAGGGAGGAAGGAAGGAAGGAAGGAAGGAGGGAGGGAAGGAAGGAAGGAAGGAAGGAAGGAAGGAGGGAAGGAAGGAAGGAAGGAAGGAAGGAAGGAAGGAAGGAAGGAAGGAAGGAAGGAAAGACGGACCCCGGTGTCCTTGGTGCTCTCTGAGAGTGGTTTCCTTGCAGACCTTTCAGGACCCAACTAGGGAACATCATCAGTGCTAGGAGGGGGGAGGAAGAGGAGGAGAAGGAGGAAGACTATGGGGTCCTTTGTGCTCTCTAAACTGGGTTGTTCTCTTGCAGACGTTTCATGACCCAATTAGGTAATATCCTCAGTGAGGGGGTTGCAGGAGGGAGGAGGAGGAGGAGGAGGAGGAGGAGGAGGAGGAGGAGGAGGAGGAGGAAGGGTGAACCCCACAGAGTGCCCAGGGCCCATCCAGCCGCAGCCCCCCTGCTCCGGTTACCTACCCCAGAGGAGGGCAGGAGAGGACGATGGGCCGTGCGGATGCGCCAGAGAGCAGCCCTTCTCCGAAGGGGCCGGCCAGACCCCCCTTGCTGGCCAGCCTGGTCTCAGGAGCCCACAACAGTTGTCATCTTTGTGACTTGCACTCCTACAAAGCCAGCATCAGTTGCTAGGGAGACGCGGAAGAGGCAAAGAAAATAAATACACAAAAATTTAAAAATCAAGATAAAAAAGAACTTAGAAATAGGTTGGGTTTTTGTTAAGCCAGACAACCCATAAGCTCCTGGCTGATCGTTTCAGAGATTGCAAGCCGTCCTCCACTTACGACGACAACTGAGCCCAAACAGTTGTTAAGTGAGCTTTGTCCCATTTTGCCACCGTTTTAAAGTGAATCATCCGGAGTTGACACGGTCGTTAAGTGAGTCTGGCTTCCCCCATTGACTTTGTTCGTCAGAAGGTCGCAAAAGGGGATCACATAGGCCCCCCGGGACGCTGCGACCGTCATAAATACGAGTCAGTTGCCAAGCTAATGAATTTTGATCAGGTGACCCTGGGGATGCTACGGTCCTAAGTCGCTTTTCTCAGTGCCGTTTTAAGTTCGGTCACTAAACAAGCGGTCGTAAGTGGAGGACCACCTTGCCTTGCCTTACCGGATCCTTCCAAGGTTCTTAAAAATCCAGGGGGACGTTTGGAGATGCTTGGCTGCCTCCAAAGGGCAGCCCAGGGAAGCCCCAGGAAGCGGCCACAGCCAGCCCTTGAGTGACCCTTGGTTATGATGTCATAAAATGCTCTAAGGTCACGAAGGGATTTCCCCCCCCCCCCAAATCTGCCCCATTTCAATTCCACGGGAGTCCCGGATTCAGGATGCAGGTATCCCCCTTTCAGCTGAGAAAGGGGGTCTGACTGGCTGCCGTGGGCTGAATTTGAGGAAGGGGTGCCGAAGGTTTCCGTCCCGCTGGGCCTCGGGGGGTTGGACTAGATGACCTACAAGGTCCCTTCCAATTCTTGTTACTCTGTTATGGGGGCTCTAACCCTGGAGGTTTTCAAGAAGAGACTGGACGGTCATTTTTGTCCGGAATGGTCTCTGGGGGGGGGGGTCTCCTGCTTGAACAGGGGGTTGGACTAAATGACCTCCAAGGTCCCTTCCAACTGTTAAAAGGTTGACTCGGGTTTTAGGCTGGAACGTTCTAGTTTTTCTTCAGGATCTTTTGAATTGAAGGGGATAACGGATTGTTCGTGTTACCTTCTTCCTGCCACAGACACACACACAAACACACACACACACACACCCCGGGAGGCGAGCCTGACCAAGAGGGATGCTCAGACGTTCAGTGAACATGGGGGTCAGGAAATGGGGAGGGGGCGTTTCCTGGGCTTATGGGAGGCGACCCGCAGGAAACGGGAGGGGGGGGGTCAGGGAAGAGGGGCTGAAACGGGCGGGGGGCTTCGGCCCTGCCATCGAGCGGGGCGCCATCTTGACTTTTTTGACCCCGGTGGACCCGGGGCTCGAAGCCGAGCCGGACCGCGATCCAGGCCAGGGGCCGGCAGAGCTCAGCCGCCACCGCCTCTCCCGAGCGGACCCCCCGAGCAAATCTCCGCCGTTCAATCGCGGAGCCGGATTCAACTTGGGGCGGGGGGGGGGGGGACTGCCGAGATCCGGGCCTGGCCGGGCCGGAAGGCTTCGCACGGCCGGTTCACGCGGGTGGGAGGTGGGCTTTTCCTGGGGGTCCCTCCCCCCAAGCGGAGAGGGGCAGCCGGGAGGGTCCCGCAGCCAGGCGGGCGCGCCTCCCCCGCGAGTCCCGGCCAGGCGCCGCCGCCGCTCCCCGCAGCGGACCCTCCGTGGGAAAGCGCAGACACGCGAGGGGGGGGAAGCGATGCCCCGGGAAGCCTCCGGCGCGGGACGCGGGCGGGAGGGGGGCGTCCTCGGATGACCCTCCACCCCCCCCAGCCCCCCTCCCGGCGAGCCACCNCTTGACTCTTTTGACCCCGGTGGACCCGGGGCTCGAAGCCGAGCCGGACCCCGATCCAGGCCAGGGGCCGGCAGAGCTCAGCCGCCACCGCCTCTCCCGAGCGGACCCCCCGAGCAAATCTCCGCCGTTCAATCGCGGAGCCGGATTCAACTTGGGGCGGGGGGGGGGTGGACTGCCGAGATCCGGGCCTGGCCGGGCCGGAAGGCTTCGCACGGCCGGTTCACGCGGGTGGGAGGTGGGGAGGGGGCTTTTCCTGGGGGTCCCTCCCCCCAAGCGGAGAGGGGCAGCCGGGAGGGTCCCGCAGCCAGGCGGGCGCGTCTCCCCCGCGAGTCCCGGCCAGGCGCCGCCGCCGCTTCCCGCAGCGGACCCTCCGTGGGAAAGCGCAGACACGCGAGGGGGGGGAGCGATGCCCGGGAAGCCTCCGGCGCGGGACGCGGGCGGGAGGGGGGCGTCCTCGGATGACCCTCCACCCCCCCAGCCCCCCTCCCGGCGAGCCACCGGCAGCCCCGCTACTTACTCCGGGGAGGGGGCGGCGGCGGCGGCGGCGGCTGCGTCACAGAGCTGGGCTCCCCCGCCGGACCCCGCGCCCGCCGCCCGGCATCGCTGCTCGCCGGCCCGGGGAGGGGAGCGCGGCCAGGCCGCGGGGCCGGAGCGGCGGGGGACGGCCGAGGGGGACCGGAGGAGGCCGGCGCGGGAGGGGGCGATGCCCGTTGACAGCCCGACCGACCCTCCGTTCGGCTCCCGGCGGCGCTGCTGCTGCGGCGGCTTCTGCTGCGGACAAAGACGGCGGCGCTCCGAGGCTCCCGGCTCTGCTCTCCTCCGCCTCGGCCGGGTCGCCTCCTCCCGCCGGGGCGGCGCTGCTGCGGCACCGGGTCCCCCCCGCCCCTTTCCCGGCAGAGCCGCTTCTGCAGGCGCCCGAGCCGGCTCCGGGGGCGCCGCTCGCACGGCTGGCTGGCAGGCAGGCAGGAGGCGGAGGGAGGGAGGGCAGCCCCGCCCGGGAGGAGGAGGGGGGGTCTCCCGGCAGGGAAGGGCCCCCTCCCTCTCCCGCCGGGCGGGCGGGGGTCCCGGTGGGTGGGGCTGTTGGAGAGCTGCCCTCCCCCCCAGCTCAGGCCCCGGGGCGGTGGGCTTCCAGCCGGGAGCCCCCTCCGCTAGTCGGCTCCCCCTTGAGGTAGCCCGGGAGCCTCTGCTGCGATGGGGCTGGGGGCTCCTTGGGCAGGCAGGGGCAGGGGGTCTGGCCCCACCGGTGGAGGGCAAGGGGAGCCCGGCTAGCTTGAGGGGCGCAGCGGTGGGGCTTGTTGGGGTGCAGAGCTGGACTTGGGGAGGGGGCAAGTTGATCAGGCACCCCCTGGGAAGTAGGATGGCTGCCCGGAGAGGAAGTGCCTTCCCTGGGACCCCCTTGGGGGCGGTTTGGGGTACGGGGGAGAGGGGCCCGGCCGAAGCTTCTCCTGCCCCCTCAGGCTAGAGATTTAGTGGGACGGTTCTTCCAACAGACCAGGGAAGAACCAGGGTTTGTGCCCCCCCCCAGGCAACGTATAGGGAGCCCTGCCTCTAGGCCCCGGTCCTGGGGGGGCCGGCCTCCTGCATCCGGGAAGAGCCCAAGGGGACAAGAGCCAGGGTTGACTACCCCTGGACAAGACCCTTCCCCACAGCTGATAGTTTAGGAGGCAGCTGCTGCCCAGCGGCCAGAGGGGGGGGGGTCAGTTCTCCCACACACCACATCCCATAATTTAATTTCACTTTCACTTTTAAGGCCAACGTCTCCTTTCTCCGCTTCCAACCCCAAAAAAAGGGACTAAAAATCTTGGGAGTTTTTCCCCCTTGCGGGCACCGCTCTGGCCCACGACTGACTCCCTTTCGCCCCCAGAGGCTTTTTAAAAATCTTCTCCAGTTCTGCAGGCAGCGCGAAGGACTACAGGTCCCATCGTTCCTATCCAGGGCAGGCAAGATCACCAGCATCTGGAGTTCGCAGCCCTTTTGCGCTTTCGACACACTGGTGGTTGTCCTGAATAATTGGATACCGTTTTTGATCCAATGGAAGGGCGTTACAAAAAGTTCGTTCTGGCACTGCCTTTGCTCCCCTTCTCTCAGGGACCCCCCCCCAAAAAAGCTCCCAGGGCCCCCCCAAAAGACATTTCTGTTCCCTGTAATTCTGTTTTAAAACCATGGAAGCCACCGGCCATCGCCACCCTTTAAATCAGGGGTAGTCAACCTTGGCTCTTTTATGACTGGTGGACTTCAACTCCCAGAATTCCTGAGCCAGCCATGCTGAGGGGAAGGGAGAGGTTTCTAAGCTGAGCCAGGCTGGCTCAGGAATTCTGGGAGTTGAAGTCCATGAATCCTAAACGGGGCCATAGTTCCCCCATGCTGGCTGAGGAATTCTGGGAATTGAAGTCCACCAGTCATCAAGGGAGCCACAGTTCCCCCATGCTGGCTCAGGAATTCTGGGAGTTGAAGTTCATGAGTCACAAAATGGTCATAGTTTCATCATGCTGGCTCAGGGATTCTGGGAGTTGAAGTCCACGAGTTATAAAAAGAGCCAAGGTTGACTACCCCTGCTTTTAAATAATAATAAAAAGGTTTGGTGGGTATTTGAGCTTTTTGGTTCTTTCCATTCAAAATGTTCTTTTATTTCTCTTTTATTAGCTGCTACCAAGGTTTTGTTTGGGGTCTAAAGCAGGGCTGTCCACGCTTGGCTAATTTTTAAGACTTGTGGACTTCAACTCCCAGAATTCCTCAGCCTGTTTTTTCTTTTTCTTCCCTCCTCCCTCCTAGAGCGGAGAGATTGCAAAGGAAGGGATTGCAAGAGAGTAAACAGGCCCCAATGGGTGTACATATCGAAAGGAACGCTTTAGTCCCAGGGAACTCTGGGAGTTGAAGTCCAGAAGTCTTGAAGTGGCCAAAAACGGACAGGCCTGGTCTAGTGGTGAGGAAATCACGTGTTTGCCTGGATATTTTAAGGTATTTATTTATATATATTTAGAAAATCCTTTCCCAAGCTCGTTGCCATGTGAAAAAAAAAAAAAAAGATGGATTGACCCCGTTTGAGCCAGCTGGCCACAAAAATGAGCATTTCCCAACCTCTGGACTAAGACACGTCTGTGGAATTTGCGGGCCGTTGAAAGCAAACGCTGAGTCAGCCCTCAAAAATGCGACAGGAACCTCAGTGCAGTCTGAGTTACAGCGGAGTTTTCAAGGAAAGGCCGGACATGAAGAGCTGTCCCAGCTTGGCCACTTTGAAGGACTTGTGGACTTTCAACTCCCAGAATTTCCCAGCTGGGACAGCCCTGTTTTACAGACCACAAACAAAACTCTGGAAGCAGTTAGTAAACAGAATTAAAGCAATACTTTGAACGGAAAGCACCAGAAAAAGATAGGCACACTGAAAAAAAATATACACCGGGATTTTTTTTTTTTTTAAAAAAGCACAGCTGGCTGGGGAATTCTGGGAGTTGAAGTCCACGAGTCTTAAAAGTTGCCCAAGTTGGACAGCCCTGGTGCTCCTGCCTTGAAAAGGGGATCAGACTAAAAAAGACCTCCATCCCTTTTATTCTGTTTTTCTCTTTGCTGCCGTGAAAGTGGGGTGCGGGGAGGCCCAGCTGGGAAAAGACTGCGCCCCCCCCCCAATATTCTGACCAGCCTCGTAGGCAGAAATGCCTCGGGGCCCCATCCTACGCGAGACCCTTGGGGACCTGGGAGTCAGGAAATGGATTTGGCCACTCCGTCCTTTGCGACCTTGAGCAAAACACAGCTTCCTCCAAGGCTGTGCAGTTGCGTCCCCCCCCTCCCCTACTACACCCCCCCCCCGAGGCAGCTGAAACAAAAGAGGCTGACATTCCGGTCAGACCCCGAATCCAAGTCCAGGCGGGGCCCCGAGGAAGCTGCCTCAGCGGATGTGATGATGATGATGGCGGTGGGGAGGCGGTTATCCCAGTAAGAGAGAGAGAGAGAGAGAGGGAGACTCGTTTGGAACTGGCTGCCCTGGTTTTTGGGTGGTGGGAGGGATACCCTAACGAGGCAAAGTTGGGAAATAATAATAATAATAATAAAAATATTTACATGTGTTCTCTCTGGGGTTTGCAACCGGCTTTAAAACGTTTGGTACCAACCCAGGGGCCCCAAAATCCCGTCCATTGGAATAAATTACGCAAATCTGAATAAATTTGCATCCTGATGACTTTTTAACATGCTTGCAAAGCAGGTATTTGAGAAGGAAGCGCCGGGAGAGGCGGATTGGTTGGGCCTTTTAAAACAGATCGAAATTAGTGCAGGGGTAGGCAACCTTGGCTCTTTTAGGACTCGTGGACTTCAACTCCCAGAATTCCTGAGCCAGCAGAGCTGGCTCAGGAATTCTGGGAGTTGAAGTCCACGAGTCCTAAAAGAGCCAAGGTTGCCTACCCCTGCGTTTAGTGACTCCTGTTTATGACGGTCACGGGGTCCCCTGGGGGACGCCTGCTCCCCCTTTTGCAACCTTCATGTTGATCCTTCGGCAACTGCAGGGCTTCCCTTAACAGCTGTGGCAAGACCGGTCGTAAAATGGGGGCCAAACTCACTTAACAACGGACCTTTTTGGCCCTCACTTTGCGATTGTGAGCCAAGGACCCCCCGTACTAGCATTTTTCACTTGCCGATATCCATGTTCCTGGCCTCTTCCTGCTTTGCCCCTTAAGCCTCCTACGATGGTGGGGATAAAAATACACGCAGCTTTTGTCGACTCTGCTGTCGGAACACCGAGGAGGGCATTAAGTGGAAAACTAGCTTTTAATGGAGCTCGGAGTAGGGCGGGAGCAGCAGAGCCTCCGTTACGCAGTACAAGATCCTGGCCAACGAGGAGGGGCAAGTTGAGCCCCCTCAGAGGGGGGGGGACGTTGGAGAGTCGGTTTTTCCCTGGTTTTTTCTCTCCAGGCTCAAAGTTCTGCCTGGTTTGTGGCTCCTTGGCTTCCCGTTGTTGGTTTCGCAGCTCTGTTGAAATGTCAGCCATCCCCAGCTTCCCAAGCCAAAAGGAAAAGCGCAGACGGCGGCCGCCTCTCGTGGTGCTCCTTGGCCCCCCCCCCCGGGAGCCCTCAGACCTGTTCGGGCTGTCTTTCTGGCTGGGCTAGCGAGAGGCGGCGATGTCGGCCGGGCTGCTGCTGTCTGGGCAGGAATGGGGGTGCCTGGCCCCGAGGCGTCTCGCACTGCGGCGGCGCAGAGAAGGACGGCTTCCAACCTGGGCAGGAGGAGCCCGGAGGCCAGTAAGAGAGTCTGCTGGAACCGAGAGGGCCAGGCCCGTCCCCCCCCCAACGAGGGCTGAACCCCACAGCCCCCTCCAGGCCCCACTTCTGAATTGGAATACGCCTCCCTCCCAGCACCGCTTGCTAAAACACCTGCCAGCAAAGCACCCTTCTTACGGGGCAGACAGGAAATGCTGTGCATTTTCCATTCATTCATTCATTCATTCATTCATTCATTCATTCATTCATTCATTCATTCATTCATTCATTTGTTCGTTCATCCATCCATCCATCCATCCATCCATCCATCCATCCATTCATTCATTCATTCATTCATTCATTCATCCTGTCTCTCTCTCTCTCTCTCACCTTTCTGACTCCTCTTCTGTTTTCCCGATGCTTGATCAGGTCCTCGGAGCGTAGCTGCCGCGTTGGGGGCAGTTCTCTCTGGTGGGCTCTTCTTCAACACAGGGGAAACACTTTCAGGCCCCAACTTGAGTTTTTTGCTCCCTGTATGAAATACAAACACAAACACACACACACACACACTATTGTTAGCACAAGAGGGAATCTGAAGACAATCGTTTTCTCCTGAGAATGAAATGAAATGAAAAACCAAGTCTGAGTTGGTGTAGGGCAGTGGTGGCGAACCTATGGCACGCGTGGGCACACGCACCGTCGCCCCAGCCCCACCTCCCACAGCCCCCTCCTCACCAGCAGCCCTCCGGAGGAGAGTCGCCCCCAGGCACGGCCCACACAATGCTGCGCAGCCAAGGACACGGCAGCCGGGCAGCGGGGACAAGACTCCGCCCATGCACCCCATTGCGCACAGATGATGCTGCAGGGCACGGGCGGAGGGCGTGGCCACCATGGTGCTGCTGGGCTGCCTGGGTGATCTGTGGCGGGCCGTGGAGGTGGTGGGTGGTCCAGCAGGCACAGCGGAGCAGGGACAGGGGTGGTGGTTTTGGGGCACTTGGTCTCTAAAAGGTTCGCCATCCCTGGTATATGGGGTCTCCTGCTGGAGCGAGGGGGTTGGACTGGAGGACCTCTGGGGTCCCTCCCAGCTCTGTTATTCTGTTCTTTTTTCTGCGATCGTGCGTATTATCTGTCCCATCAAGCCCAAAGAGAATCCAGATTGCTGCGGGATCTCCGGTCACGGGCAGGGGGGTTGGACTAGAGGACCTCCAAGGTCCCTTTTAACCCTATAATTCGAGGTTCTATGTTCCTTCTACATCTGAATCTCCTTCCACCCAGGGAGTCCCCAGCCAGGAGGCCGAAGAGAGGAGCCTCCCCGGGGCCAATCACCCGGTCAGGGAGAGCCTTGACCCCGTCCTTTGGGGAAGGGCTGGCCATGCTGCAACGGGGCGGATGGATGGCTGGGGAGGGCCAGGGGTGGCCCGTTCCCCCATCGTTCCCTGGGTCAAGGGAAGGGGGTCTTGAAGTTCAAGAACTTCTCCAAGCCTAGAGATCTGGCGGGAGAACGGGAACCTCCGGAAGGATGAACGCTTCGACCTTCTTGCCAGCAGAGGCGAGAAATACGGAAGAACATAGTGTGGGGACGTTTCTACGCGTGTTCCTGGCTGCCCCTTTTATTTTATTTATTTATATTTTGCCTTTCTAGGCTGCCCGTCTCCCTCAAGGAGGGGCTTTTTATAGTGTTTTTAATTTGGGCTGCGTTGTTTTTACTTCGTTAGCCAAAGCCAGGGATTATGAAATGAGCGGCCGTATAAATGCATTAAATAAATAAAACGCCCAATGACATCGGGAGGTCGGCGCAGGCTAAGACCTGCTGCCCCCAAAGTCTCCCCAATGGAGCTCCCCCGCCCTTCTCCTCAATATTATTCTACCTCTGCTTCTACCAAGGTTCTCTCTTTTCTGGCCCGCAGCTTATACTAGGCCAGCCCAAGAACGCTGGCAGGATTTGGGAATGGCCAGTCTAGAGAAAAGAAGGATGAGGGGGGATATGATAGCACGATTCCAGTATCAGAGGGGCTGCCACAAAGAAGAGGGGGGAGGGCAACCCATTTTCCAAAACACCAGAAGACAAGGAGCAACAAATGGACATTAATCAGAGAGAGAGAAACAACCTAGAACTAAGGAGAAACTTCCTAACAAAGAGGACAATTAATCAGTGGAACCACCTGCCTCCAGAAGCGGTGAATGCTCCAACACTGGAGGTTTTTAAGAAGAGACTGGACAGCCCTTTGTCTGAGATGGTATAGGGTTTCCTGCCTGAGCAGGGGGTTGGACTAGATGACCTCCAAGGTCTCTTCCGAGTCTCTTATTCTGTTCTTCCTTCCTTCCTCCCTTCCTTCCTCCTTCCCTCCCTCCCTCCCTCCCTTCTCCATCACTGGAAGTTTTTAAGAAGAGACTGGACGGCCATTTGTCTGAAATGGTGTAGGTAGGATTTCTTGCCTGAGCAGGGGGTTGGACTAGATGACCTCCAAGGTACCTTCCAACATCATCATCATCATCATCATCATCATCATCATCATCATTATTATTATTATTATTATTATTATTATTATTATTGTTATTTTCACATATACCTTTCACATTGATGGTCTTCTTGACCTTTGCATTGGGTCTCACTGCTGATATTTCGCGAAGAAGCTGGAAAAGAAATATTGTTTGCTCACTGAAGAGCAAAGAGCGGCCTGGCCTCCCAAAGACACCCAGTGGAAAAAATGGAAGGATTCTGAATGTTTCTCCTGGTGCAAAAAAGAACCCAGTGGGCAGGCAGCCAGAGAGGGCAAACGGGCGCAGCACCAGGAGCCTTTGAACCCTTAGCCTCCCCACACAGTGAGGGTCCAGTGCTGAGCTGCCATCCCTGTTAAACCTGCCTTTCCCTCGGCTCACCTTTTCTGGGTTCTTGCGTGAGGCTGCCGCGTTCTTATTCCCACCCTTCGTTTCCGGGGCCCTTTTGACCGGAGGCCTGGAGGCCGAGCTATTCTGCTCTAGGATACAAGAAGGAACCAAGGACGTGCGAGTTCCCCTCAAGGGAGGGAGAGAAGCTGCTTTTTCTACTTCTGGTACCTGACCCCCATGTGGCCCCCCATGTTACCTTTCAGGATTTTGTCCTCTCTGGGAGATGCTTTGTTTCTGAATCGGCCATGGAAGCCGAATCTCCTTATTCTCTCCTAGAGGGAAAGAGCAAAAGGAGCCCTAGTGATAAGCTGGTAGACTGAAGGCACGCTGCCCCCCCCTGCTACCTTGAGCTGTGTGGAGGCGTCACCTGCCGGTTTTGGTTGGTTAATAATAATAATAATAATAATAATAATAATAATAATAATAATAATAATAATAATAATAATAATAATAGCAGGACTACATGGCCAATACATTAAAAAAATAGCTGGGAAAGCAGATAATAACAGGACCTGGCAATGGCTAAGAGCAGGAAAATTGAAGAAAGAGACCGAGGGACTAATTCTGGCTGCACAAGACCAAGCCTTAAGGACAAATGCATACAAAGTCAAAATTGAGAAGACAGCAACAGATAGTAAGTGCCGCCTATGCAAAGAAGCTGAAGAAACAGGGGACCACCTGGTAAGCTGCTGCAAGAAGATCGCACAGACCGACTACAAGCAGCGGCACGACAAAGTAGCAACAAGGGTGCGTTGGAAGATCTGCAAGAAATATCATTTCCCTGTAAACCAGAACTGGTGGGATCATAAAATAGAGAAAGTCATAGAAAATGATAAAATTAAACTGCTCTGGGACTTCAGAATTCAAACAGACAAGCACCTGCCACATAACACCCCGGACTTAACAATTGTCGATCAGAAAGACAAAAAAAAGTCTGGATAGTGGACGTGGCAGTGCCTGGAGACGGCAGAATAGACGAGAAAGAACTGGAGAAGATAACAAAATACAAAGACCTACAAATAGAAGTAGAAAGACTGTGGCAAAGGCCAGCAAGGGTGGTACCAATAGTCATAGGCGCCTTGGGTGCAATCCCAAAACAACTGGAGCACCACTTGGACACCACCATCGGCATTGACAAATTCGCCATCAGTCAATTGCAAAAGGCGGCCTTACTAGGAACTGCTTCCATCCTGCGACGAGATCTGTAATACCGTCAAACATCCACATCTGCCTATCCCAGGTCCTTGGGAAGGACTCGATAGGTAGACAAAAATGCCAAATCCAGTCTGAACATCTGGCTGGCTGTGCGATGATCCATAATAATAATAATAATAATAATAATAATAACAACAACAACAACAACAACAACAACAACAATAATAATGTTGGAAGGGACCTTGGAGGTCCTCTAGTCCAATCCCCTGCTCAGGCAGGAAACCTATACCTAATAATAATAATAATAACAACAACAACAGTTGGAAGGGACCCTAGAGGTCATCTAGTCCAACCCCCTGCTCAGGCAGGGAACCCTATACCAAATAATAATAATAATAATAATAATAATAATAATAATAATAATAATAATAATAATAATAATAATAAAGTTGGAAGGGACCTTGGAGGTCATCTAGTCCAACCCCCTGCTCAGGCAGGAAACTCTATACCGTTTCGGACAAAGCGCCTTGACTGAAGGGTCTCTGCGCAGTCACAGAGGCTGAAAAACTGTCTCGGGTCCAGCTAGCTGAAGCAGGACCCCTCCCCTCAAGACCCCTTATCTGCTTTTTGAATCCACCCATCATTCCCCCATTGGCTGAACCCGCCTGAGCTGAAGTAAGAGGAACAAATAAGTTTTATTTTAAAACACTAAACATTCACATTCTTTTCTTGTGGCAGAAACGCCTATTAGCGATGTTCGCCACCCGGAGTTACTTAATAAAGTTGGGATATAAAATTTGTGGGAGAGAAAGCCGGGTCACCGCAAGTCAGACGGCATATAAATTTAATACATCATTTTGACCGAGTTGGCATTTTTGCCCGCCCAGCGAGTCCTTCCCAAGGACCTGAGACGGGCAGATGTAATGGTTTGATGGTGTCCAAGGTATCCTTGCAGGGTGTAACTGTTCCAAGTAAAGCTGCCTTTTGCATCATCATCATCATCATCATCCAAACCCTGAGGAAAATGATAGCCCTGCCCCCCCTCCCCGTGTCAGGTGAAACAGAAGCGTTAATCACTTTGCTATTTAAAATATTAGCAGCTTGCCTTGCAAGGCTGCCTGCCTTATACTGATTTCTGATAAGAAAAGGAAAAAATAGGTCTGTGTTTGTTTGAAACGAGGCAGTTTCCACAGCAGCACGTTTTACCGCTGCACCTCCTCAATTCAATGCAGAGTTTAGAAATAGGAAATATAAATAAATGAATAAAATTTTGCAAAGGGAGCTTGGGGGGTTACACTCCAGCAGTACAGCCACCAAGGCAATAATGAATGAAGCAGAAATGGATTGTTTTAACAAACGGCACCGAACAGGAAGCCCGAATGAGCAGAAGTTAGGATAGGGGTAGGCAACCTTGGCTCTTTTTATGACTCGTGGACTTCAACTCCCAGAATTCCTGAGCCAGCATAGCTGGCTCAGGAATTCTGGGAGTTGAAGTCCACGAGTCATAAAAGAGCCAAGGTTGCCTACCCCTGAGTTAGGAGATGTTTTAATCAAGGGGCCTTTTCTCAGTGCTGCGTTAAAAAAAACCTCTCCATCTCTCTTTAAATGAACAGAAATCAAGACTGGTGTGAAATTTGCTCCCCCCCCCCCACACACACAATCGCTCTGCGGCTTCTATTGTGCCTGTTTTGACTCACTGTGGATGATGCTCTTCGGATGAGGTATATACTGTATAGCATACATAAGATAGACAAAGCAGCTGGTGGATTTTTTTCCCCAGCTTTGATGCCCTCCCTGCCTGCCTGTCACCAGGAAAAACCTCTGCCAATCACAGGGCTGCAGCACACGGGGTGTGTGTGTGTGTGTGTGTGTGTGTGTGGATCAGGTGGGTCACAGGGGGCCGAAGCTGCCTCCTTCTTTTCCTAATGCTCCCTATTCTGTCAGAAACCCAAACTGAATAGTTTTAGTCTCCCCTGAAAAGGTGACAAAGGGATTACACAACTTCAGGTGTCCCTTGGACAATGTTTGAAAAAAAAAGGGTGGGGGGGAGAGGGAGACAGAAAAAAAAGAGGTTGCCAAAGCTTGTGGACTTGTTTTGATGCAAGTGAAGCCAGTTCTAACCTTCTGGGTCCCTAAATACCAAAGTGCCACAAATCAGGCCTGGAAAAAAAAAAATACAAGGGACAACTAGAATAAGGTGGATTGAAATGGTGTGGCAGTTCAGTGTCTAGATGGCCACTTTAAGACTTGTGGGCTTCAACTCCTAGAATCCCCCCAATGAAAGGGAATTGAAGGCCACAAAGTGGCCAGATTGGCAGACTCCTGGTCTAGATCCTGAACAAAAGTGTGAGAATATATGATAACGGTTATTCCAGGGAAAAAAACAGCTAAGGTGCCCTACAACCTTTGTAGCCAGAATCCGGGCCCACCTGAATGCTTATTCGTTCTGCTTCTTTGGCCATTTCCAGAGCCACTCTGAGGTCCTTCTTCTCACTTTTATTCCTGATCTTGGCCTGGATGGAAGAGAGGCTTAAAATCAGAGCTGTGACTAAGGGGGGAACTCGCCACGCAGCTTCTTCCATTCGCGTTGCATCGTCCAATCCAAAGAACAGCTCTGTCTTGTGGTGAAAGGGTTACTACGGGAGGATGCTGAACCTGCATCCTTCCTTAAGTTTTCCCTTCCGTCTCTTGTTGTTTCTCAGCCCTGGAAATGGGGCTGTCTGGAAGGAAAGAGCTTGGAGTGGAGAGAGAGAGAAAAGAATGGGAACAGAAGCCGCCTTGGGCTTCCTCTTTGCCGGCCCCTTTTTCACACAGCTGGGGAAAACTTGACTTTGCCTTAGGGGTGGGCGGGTTTCCCCCCCTAGGGAGAAAGCGTGGAATTTTGTGGCCGTTGTGAAAAAAGGACAGTCTGGAGGGAAGAATGGGTGGGTGGAGGAGTGGGTGCCCATTCATTAATTTATAACCCTTTGAAGTTACAACGGGCACTGAAAAAAAGTGACTTATGACGCCTGTTGCACCGTCCCCACAGACACAGGATCAGAATTCAGACACTTGGAAACTGGCTCGTATTTATGACGGTCGCAGTGTCCCAGAGGGGTCGTGCGATTCCCCCCCCCCTTTGCCACCTTCTGACAAGCAAAGTCAAGGGGGAAGCCAGATTCACTTAACAACCATGTTGGTCACTTAACTACTGCAGGGATTTCACTTAACAGCTGTGGCAGGACAGGTCGGAAAAGGGGGCGAAACTCACTTAACGACCGCCTTGCTTAGCGACGGGAAATTGGGGCTCAGTTGTGATCTACTTTACAGCCGTGGCAAGGAAAGTCGTAAAATGGGGGAAAGCTCATTTAATTAAATATCTTTACTTAGCAATAGAAATCTGGGGCTCCGTTGTGGCTGTAAAGGACTGCCTGCAGAGTGCCTGCTATGGTTGATGGAACAGGCTGCCTGTTTTGCTCACTCCCCACCCTCCCCGCTAGCTCTGGGGGAAGCCTACCTTTTCTTATTTTATAAAAACTCCTGAGAGGTTCAGAGGAACTTCTAAATGGGTAGAGACGGGGGAGGGAGGGGGGCTTTGTACCAGAACGGGTCCCTAACTCATTTGGTTCGAGCAGGGCTTTTCAACCTTTTTACCCATTGTACCACTTTTAGGATATGGCAATATCCGAGTACCACCAGTCGCCTAGCAAGGTGTCAGAAACTTGATGATCAAAAAAAAAAGGAAAAAAGTGATGAAGTCCTCGACTTACAACAGTTTGCTTAGTGACTGTTCAAAGTTACAATGGCACTGAAAAAAGTGCCCCCCAAGCCACAGCCGAGCAACACACCTGCCTGCCCGCCCGGCCACGCTCTTCCTCCTGTCCGAGGTTTTCATTGTTGTGAGCATTTCTGTTGAGGATTGGCAGCGGGGGTGGGGTGGGGGGGTGTTTGGTTTTTATTCCCCCCCCCCCGTCTGCTGGGTGGTTGCAGCAGGTTTTGATCACTTCACATGACCCTGGGACACTGTGACCGTCATAAATATGAATCAGTTGCCAAGCATCTGAATGGAAATCACAGGACCCTGGAGATGCTGCAACATTCCAGCTGATCGGCGCTTCTTCTGGGGCTCAGCAGAAGCGCCAGGATCAGTGCCGAGCTCCAGTTGGAGCCTGGCGCTGATCCTGGCACTTCCACTGAGCCCTGACAGTCCTGCAGCTCCAGCCATCTCTCGCTCAGGCTTGTGCGGTGCTGCCACCGGTTCAACTCATTCCCCTCCCCCGCTACCACTTTTCTAGGAGGGTCGCGTACCACCTGCCAGGTGCCCATGTACCACAGGTGGCACCCGTACCACTGGTTGAAAAGCCTTGGGTTAGAGCAGGGGGTAGGCAACCTTGGCTCTTTTATGACTTGTGGACTTCAACTCCCAGAATTCCTCAGCCAGCCATGCAGTCCACAACTTTCAAAGTTGCTAAGTTAGGAGACACATACACACACACACACCGGTTTAGAATCAGACACAATGTCACACACACACACCACCAATTCTTTGCAACCTGCTACAGATCTGTGTCCTGAATCATCTGGAAACGGGAGGCTCATTGAGGGACACACACACACACATGACAAAAGCCTTGGATTTTGTGGCCCACTTGGCAAAGAAGCCCTCAAGCAAAGGCCCTCCTCTTACCAAGGCGCTTCCTTCCCCGGGTGCTTCACCATAGTTCTTCAGCTGGGAGGCAGAGATCCAAGCGCGGGTCACGGAGTGGCCGAAGAAGGTCACGTGGTACTTGGACTAAGCCAGAAGGAGAGAAGGTCAGTGGCCAGTTTGGGGAGAAGCCGCCTGGAGCGGAAGCGAAGCACGAGAAGATTCCTCGACTGGAGCAAAGATACGATGACCTTTGCGAGGAAAACCATAGGAGAAGCCTTGGAAAGGCCCATCTTAGCTAGCAAGCCTCATTCCCCAGATCAGGGGTAAGCAACCTTGGCTCTTTTAGGACTCGTGGACTTCAACTCCCAGAATTCCTGAGCCAGCATGGGGGAACTATGGCTCCCTCATGACTGGTGGACTTCAACTCCCAGAATTCCTGAGCCAGCATGGGGGAACTCTGGCCTCTTCATGACTGGTGGACTTCAACTCCCAGAATTCCTGAGCCAGCATGGGGGAACTATGGCTCCCTCATGACTGGTGGACTTCAACTCCCAGAATTCCTGAGCCAGCATGGGGGAACTATGACCCCCTCATGACTGGTGGACTTCAACTCCCAGAATTCCTGAGCCAGCATGGGGGAACTCTGGCCTCTTCATGACTTGTGGACTTCAACTCCCAGAATTCCTGAGCCAGCATGGGGGAACTATGGCTCCCTTGATGACTGGTGGACTTCAACTCCCAGAATTCCTGAGCCAGCATGGCTCAGCTTGGAAACATCTCCCTGTCCCCTCAGCATGGCTGGCTCAGGAATTCTGGGAGTTGAAGTCCACAAGTCATAAACGAGCCAAGGTTGCCTACCCCTGCCCCAGATCAACTGCCCAGACACTGCTTGCCTGTCCCCAATGGGGGGGTGGGTGTTCTTTGCAACCCCACCTTTTGGAGAAGAGGGGCAGTTGTCTGGCACCCCCTCCTCTGTTTGCTTTTGGGGCAATTTTACTGGCCTCTGGCTGTCTTCCATTTTTTTAATTCATCCTGACTGTTTGCAGCTGAACTTCCGGCATCCCCTTTTTCGAGGAGTTCCCACTATCCTGGACGCCTCTCCTGCGAGGTCTGATTATCATGGGTGGGGTACATAGGTACACAAAAACGTGGCAAATAGACACCATACTTAACAGGAAGTGAGTCCGCCTGGGAAGAAAACAGGAAGTACTCTTCCATGTCAGGGTCAGCTTCTATGATCCCCGGCCACCTAAAAACAGAGGCAGGAAGGAGAGCGGAGAACAGTGAGCTACGAAGATCCCTGGTCAAGTTTTAGTTAATTAATTAAATTCATTCTTCTAATAATGAAGAAAGGTGGTTCTTCCCTTATTCTCTTCTCTATCTGAGAAATCTTGAAAGCCCGATGTGAAAATTTCACATGAATTAATAACTTGCCTCTTGAACGTGACTCCCTTCTGGGAGGAGAGGGCAACGGAGAACACAACTCTGGCTCCTGCACCAGACACACAACCGCATTGGGCGTAGCAAAGCTAACTGCAGGCAGTCCTCAACTGACAACAGTTCGTTTAGTGACCGCTTGATGTTACGGTGCCCTGAAAAAAGTGGCCTGCAGGCATTTTTACACCTACGACTGTTGCAGCCTCCCCACGGTCATGCGAGCAAAACTCAGATGCTTGGCAACTGACCCATACTTGTGACGGTCGCACTGTCCCAGGGTCACGTAAACAGGGAAGGCAGATTCATTTAACAACCGTGTTACTAACTTAATTGTTACTGCAGTGATTCACTCAGCAGTTGTGGCAAGAAAGGTTGTAAAATGGGACAAAATTCACTTAACAACACTCTCACTTTGCAACAGAAATTGGGGCTCAGTTGTGGTCGTAAGTCGAGGACTGCTGTAAGGATGAAGAAGAACAAGCCCGGAGTCATTTCATCCACTTTTTAAAAGCGGTGTGTGAGAGAGAGAATGTCAAATGTAGGCTGTGTTTATACAAAACAGTTGACTGGGTCCTGGATCAAACAGCCGGCAGACGCATCTCTCCGACACGCACAGCTTAGTGTTCCCCTTGGTTACGTTTGTTTCTGTTGTGGCTGCCCTGTCTGTTGTGCAAATCCAGCCTGTTTGTTAAGTTTGATCTAGCACACGAAGCCAGAAAACGAATTAAATCCAGCGAGCCGGTCAAGTGTGTTGCACAAGGGCTGCCGTAGAGTCACAACAGACTCTGAAAAAAAAACATTTCTGCAAACCACAGTTTCGTCCCTCGGTCGCTTTTTGTGGTGCACCACAAGCACAGCTTTGTTGCGGCATCTTACACCCCCGTCTCTCCCCCACTGGCGCCAGCGAGGACCAGGTTGAAACCACCTCTGCCTATGAAACTCTCCGGGATCCAGGCTCCCCTGCTGGCCTCAGAGAAGTGGGAAGGAGGAGTGAACAGGACGAGGAGAGCTTAATACGGCAGGATCTCGATCTTTTTTTAAGAAAAATAACTAATACAGGTAATCCTCGACTTACAGACGTTCATTTAGTGACTGTTCAAAGTCAAAATGGACTGAAAAAAGTGACTTATGACTGTCTTTCACATTTATGACCCTGGCAGCATCCCCATGGTCACCTGATCAAAATCCAGGCGCTTGGCAACGGACTCATATTTATGACAGAGAATACAAGAAAAGAGTTGGAAGGAACCTTGGTGGTCTTCTACTAGTGGAACAGCTTGCCACCAGAAGTTACAGGCGCTCCATCACTGGAGATTTTTAAGAAGAGACTGGACAGTCACTTGTCTGGAATGGTATAGGTTCTCCTGCTTGAGGAGGGGGCTGGACTGGAGGACCTCCAAGGTCCCTTCCAGCTCTCTTCTCTTCTCTTCTCTTCTCTTCTCTTCTTATCATTATTCTATTCTTATCATTATTCTATTCTACTCTACTCTATTCTATATTCTATTTATTCCTATTCTATACTATATTCTATTTATTCCTATTCTCTATTCTCTATTCTATTCTAGTCTTTCTATTCTATTCTATTCTATTCTATTCTGTATTTTATTATTCTGTTCTATTCTGTATTTTATTATTCTATTCTATTCTATAGTCTATTTATTCCTATTCTATTCTATTCTATATTTTATTTATTCCTATTCTATTATCTATTCTATTCTATTCTAGTCTTCATATTTCTATTCTATTCTATTCTATTCTGTTCTGTTCTATTCTATTCTAACCCCCTGCTCAGGCAGGAGACCCTGTACCACACAAATGGCCGTCCAGTCTCTTCTTAAAAGGCTCCAGTGTTGGAGCATTCACTGCTTCTGGAGGCAGGCTGTTCCACTGTTAATTGTTCCCCATTATCAGGAAGTTTCTCCTTAGTTCCAGGTTGCTTCTCTCCTTGCTTAATTTCCATCCGTTGCTTCTTGTTCTGCCTTCAGGCGCTTTGGCGCTCCCTCTTCTTTGGGGCAGCCCCTGAGATACTGTAACGCTGCTATAAATTTGAATTTCCAAAAAAAGTTAACCCAAGCTGCTCCTCTGATGCCATTGCAGGAGTCAGTTCTGCCATAAAACCTGAGCTGGCTTTGCTCAGGAGCCAGTTGTGCCGGCGCCCTTAGCATTAGGGGCTTAAAAATCAAAGCACCAGAACGCAAAAAGTTCTTTCGTAAAATCCAGATACATGGCAGACGTCTGCAAGAGGAAGGGGAGACGCTCTCCTAGGCCGGAATTCCCCCTTTCCATGGGTCAGAAGCCCCATTTCTGGCTGGTTCTCCATCTGGAAGAACTGCAGCTACTGCATTGCATTGGCAAGGGCACTGCAAAAACCCGGCCTCCGGGGCTCTCCGTCTCCAGAAGGGGCGGCCGTTGAACAGACCTTGGAGGCCGAGATCGTTGGGGAGTTTTGAAGCGCCCCCCGATTCAAGGCCAAGTTGCTTTTTAGAAAGCTGCCAGACTTGGGCTGAGGCCGTTCCTTACAGCTGTGGATGAGGTGAGGCAGCCTCTATTCCCTGCACGGGGCACCCAAAGGACAGTAAGGTCCCAAAGCACAAGGATGGTGCGGCATGCACATAGCACTCACACACACGGGCCATCCAAATGTGAGAGGAAAAAAAAGAGGGATGAAAAAAGCCAAATGTGGCGGGTTCCAGTTGCTGCCGATTTCAAAAGGGCAAAAATTCCTCAGATTATGGCAGACATGTCAAACACAAGGCCCGGGGGCCGGATGCAGCCCGCGAAGTGGTATCATGTGGCCTGCGAAGCCATCCTGGAAACAGTGAGGGAACGGCCCCCGCTGCCTTGGCCCTGGCCCAGGCCGGCCGGGAACCAATGTACAATTTTGTGGTGGCCATCTATACTGAAACGCATTCAGTCTTAGCTCCATAAGCCCCCCCCCCCCTGCATGGCCTGAGAGGAACAGTGAGGCTTCTCCAGTGGACCATGCCTTGGCGCTTGCCCCGGTCCCACCCCCTTCTGCCAGAGACCCTCAGATCTGTCCCACTCCTGCCCAGGTCCCGACAGGCACCCTTGACGCGAACGATGTAGAGCTGGCCACGCCCACCCAGTAGGCCACACCCACTCCATCCACGCCCACCCAGTAGGCTGCACCCCCCCTGGCCACACCCACACCCACACCCACACCCACACACATGAGGGCAACCGCAATGCTGATGCGGCCCTCAATGAAATTGAGTTTGACACCCCTGGATTAGGGCCATAACTTCTCCATGCCTGTAGATTTGATAGGGTCTTTAAAAATAATAATAATTGAATTCTTTCTCCTTGCTAATCCATTTTCCCATCCTATCCTGACAGCGCCTTGGTGCTTTGCCTATTCCCTAGTAGTCAATTCCACAACCCCATTTTGTCAAGAGAGCCTGGTCAATTTCACAACCCCCAGCCAATTGGACCACGCCAAAATAAACCTCCGTTGCTCACGTAAGGCTTTTCCCGGGCGGGATCCCCATCTGTAGAACAGACACTGTGAGAGGCTGCATTCAGCACGGCGGAGAAACCACAATTCCCTTGAAATGTTTGTCACAGAAACACCCACACACCAAGATGTTTGAACAAGAGCATTAAGAGGGTGGCCTGGAGTGTGAATGGTAAGTTGTGTGACTTGAGGCAGCAGTGGCACAATTAAAGTAGAATGCCTTAGAAAAAACCCATCCTGGGTGTGCCTGGGGACAAGCCACAGCAGGGTCCTTCTGTGCTATGTCTAACCAGGTCCCCCCCATAATATGGAAACAGGGGAGCCCTTCTGAACGTAGCGTTTGTACCCTCACAGGACCAAGAGGTACACATGACACCCCTGTTGCCTTAATTTATAAAAGTCCACCTTGCTGTATACATCCTTTCTTTCTGGATTTGGCCTTTGGAATTACTTCTCCTGCATTTAGGAATTGGGTGTGTCTAGTTTAACAAAAAGAAGGACTAGGGGGGACATGATAGCAGTCTTCCAATATTTGAGGGGCTGCCCCAAAGAAGAGGGGGTCAAGCTATTCCCCAAAGGACCCAAAGGCAGGAGAAGAAGCAACGGATGGAAACTCATCAAGGAGAGAAGCAACCTGGAATTAAAGAGAAACTTCCTGACAGTTAGAACAACTAACCAGTGGAACCACCTGCCTCCAGAAGCAGTGAAGGCTCCAACACTGGAAGTTTTTAAGAAGAGACTGGACAGCCATTTGTCCAAAATGGTATAAGGTTTCCTGCCTGAGCAGGGAGTTGGACTAGAAGACCCCCAAGGTTCCTTCAACTCTGTTATCCTGTTATTTAATCTAAATAATGGTGTTTAAGCACGCCAAACTAAGTTGGGGCCGTTTCAATCTGGTTCTTTTTGCCTACCAGGGGTATCCATATTGCTTGGCCCATACGATGGACCCTGGGAAATAAATGGCATAGACCACTTCGTTTTCGGAGCCCGACCAGTCCTCCTCGGGAACACTGCAGCTGTTGTACTGAAGATCTGCGAAGAGAAAACAAATATGCCACTGAAATTAAGCCTGGTCAAAGGACTCCCTTATGCTGAGCCCAGCTCCTAGCAGGGATTCCAGAGACACATCGGTGCAGTTTTACTGGCAGCAGTACAGAAAGGAAGGATGTATGCAGCAAGGTGGACCTCTTCCTGTCCTGTTTTTCTTAGTTGGGACCTATAGCCCTGGGATTTCCTCGTGGTCTCCCATCCCAGTTCTAATCAAGTCAGCTGATTGTTGCCACCAAAAAGAAGCTCAATTTGTGCAAATGTACGGACTTTCCCCTTTCACTCTGGAATTGAGTAACAGAGTTGGAAGGGACCTCGGAGGTCTTCTAGTTCAGCCCCCCTGCTCAAGCAGGAGACCCTATAGCTGTGGTGGCGAACCTATGGCATGGGTGCCAGAGGCGGCACTCAGAGCCCTCTCTGTGGGCACGCGCAACGTCGCCCCAGTCCTAGGCCTTCAGCTGGGTTTTATAAAACCTTTTCGCTTTAGGCTCCGCCGCCGTGTGCAAAAAAAAAAAAAAAAGGTTCAATCAATCAGTCAATTTCAGCTTCTCGCGGGGAAAAAAAAGATCTTGCAAAGTTGGAATTGATTGATTGAACTTTTTAGTCCCACCCGGTCTGCCGTTACCACCGCAGCCACGCCCACCCAATGGGCCACACCCACCCGGCACCCGACGATGCATAAGTGGGTTTTGGGTTGCAGTTTGGGCACTCGGTCTCTAAAAGGTTCGCCATCACTGCCCTATAGTACCACCCCAGACAAATGGCTGTCCAGTCTCTCCTTAAAAACCTCCAGTGTTGGAGCACCCACCACTTCTGGAGGCAGGTAGTTCCACTGATTCCTGCTTGTCCGTGATGGGAGATCCTCGGCAGGAAGCGCTTTCACTTAATCGAAGGAAAGGAAGCCCCCTCCCCCCAGTCCACCAGCCCCACTCAGAGGCTTCTCCCCTACCTGGGTTCTGGCTACAGGACCAGTCCTCCGGCAGGGCTGAGGGGTCCACGTCGCTGCTGAGTCGCCGCCACTTCTCACAGCTGGGGTAAGAGCACTGGACCCAAGCGGTGCAGCAGCCTAGGAGCAGAAAAGCACCAGGAAACTGGCTGTCAGGAAAGGAATGGAAGTGCCAGACAGATGTTCCACACAGGAAGAAAACTTGGAACTGGGACTGGAGGGCCCCGGTCAGCGGTGTTGCAATAATAGGATTCATGCACTGGGCAGGAGGTTAGACCAGACCAGGGGTAGGCAACCTTGGCTCTTTTATGACTGGTGGACTTCAACTCCCAGAATTCCTGAGCCAGCACAGCTGGCTCAGGAATTCTGGGAGTTGAAGTCCACCAGTCATAAAAGAGCCAAGGTTGCCTACCCCTGGACTACATGATCCATCCGTTTCTCTTCTGATCCTGACCTTCTCTGATATATCAAGAACGGGGAAAAAAGCCCCAGCAAACCTCAGCTTTGTAAATACAGGAAGTCCCCGACTTACAAGTGATCATTCGAAGTTACGACAGCACTGAAAAAAGTGACTTGCGGGCGTTTTTCACCCTTGCGACCGTTGCCGTGGTCAAAACTCAAGATGCTTAGCAACTGGCATGTACTTGTGACAGCTACAGCGTCCCATTTTTTGCAACCCCATGACCAAAAGTCAGACGCTTGGCAACGGACTCGTATTTATGACGGTCGCGGTGATCCCCTTTTGCGACCTCGTGACAAGCAAACTCAGCGGGGGGGAACCGGATTCACTTAGCAATCTTCTTGCTCGCTTAACAACCGGAGTGATCCACCGAACAACCGTGGCAAGGAAGGTCGTAAAACGGGGCAAAACTCACTTAATGACCGTCTTGGTTAGCAAGAGAAATTTTGGGTGGTCGTAAGTTGAGGACTACCTATATCCCGATTTTAATGTATTTTTCTCCCTGTAGTTTTGGGATTCTTTTCTGCGGACCGTGTAGCTTTTCCTTAAAGAGACAGCAGCCTAGGCCACACTGTGTTAAGGGCCCTTCCTCACAACTACACACACACACACACACACATCCCTCCTGTCTTTCAATCAGCGGAAAAGCACGACAACCAAGAACGCACCACCTTCGTGGCCGGGCTTTTCTGCCTCAGAGGAGCCATCGGTGGGTCTCCTGACTTCCTCTGAGCATGTCAAGAAAAGAGAGAAAAAAGGAGCTGACAGGATGGCGGTCGGAAGGACGAGGCAGGGAGGGCGGGAGGGAGGGAGCCGGCAACCACACTGAGGAAGCACACAACTTTCTTGGCCTTCCCTTCCCTTCCCCTCAGCCCTTCCCCTCCGCAGCCGTTCGTTGGGCCAGTCAGTCAAAATACAGGTAGTCCTCAACTTACGACCACCACTGAGGCCAACATTTCCGTCGTTAACTGAGACATTTGTTAAGTCAGTTTTGTCCTGTTTTACGACCTTTGTTGTTCACCTCCCGTCAAAACTTTTTAAAAGGTTCCATCAAAATTGCCCCTCCCTTTTTCTTCTTAACCCATTCTTGGCTCCCTTTCGCTACATTTTCTGCAACCATTTTTTTTCTTCCTCCCCGCAAGCGCTGCGTGCCCCCTCCTCCTCTTCCTCACCTCTGCAGGTGGCTTTATTTACATGCATCTATTTTTTTTCTCTCAGCCAGAGGTTCTGTTCCACCAAGAGTCCTTTTTACGCTTCCTATTACAGCAAAGTCCCTTCTGTGACAAGATAATAATTCTCCCTCTTCCCAGGCCGCTTTCTCTTCTTTCCACTCTCATCCTTTCTGCCGAGAGATTAATTACTGTAATTGTCTTCTCTCTTTTCAAAGAGAAGCTGTACTTTCTCTTCTTGGGCTTGTTCTTCTTTCACTAGTCTAGCTCCTTCCACTTCTTTCATGTCTTCCTTCCTTCTTCCCTTTGTTCTTCCTTCCTCTCCTCTCCTTTCCTTCCTCTCCTCCCTCCCTCCTCCTTCCTCTTTCCTCTCTTTCTCTCCCTCCCTCCCTTCCTCTTTCTATCTTTTCCTTCCTCTCTTCTCCTCCATCGCTTTTTCCTCTTTCCCCTCCCTCCCTCCCTTCCTCTTTCTCTCCTTTCCTTCCTCTTTCCTCCCTCCTTCTTCCTCTTTCTTCTCTTTCTCTCCGTCCCTCCCTCCCTTTCTCTTTTCCTTCCTCTCTTCTCCTCCATCACTTTTTCCTCTTTCCTCTCTCCCTCCCTCCCTTCCTCTTTCTCTCCTTTCCTTCCTCTTTCCTCCCTCCTTCTTCCTTTCTTCTCTTTCTCTCCCTCCCTCCCTCCCTTTCTCTTTTCCTTCCTCTCTTCTCCTCCATCACTTTTTCCTCTTTCCTCTCTCCCTCCCTTCCTCCCTTTCTCTCCTTTCCTTCCTCTCTTCTCCACCCTCCCTCCTTTTCTTTCCTCTCTCCCTCCCTCCCTCCCTCCTTTTCTTTCCTCTCTCCCTCCCTCCCTCCCTTCCTTTCTATCTTTTCCTTCCTCTCTTCTCCTCCCTCCTTTTCCTCTTTCCTCTCTTCATCCCTCCCATCCTCTTTCCCTCCTTTCCTTCCTCTCTTCTCCTCCCTCCTTCTTCTTTCCTCTTTCTCCCTCCCTCCCTCTCTTTCTCCTTTCCTTCCTCTTCTCCTCCCTCCCTTTTTCTTCCTCTCTCTCTCTCTCTCCCTCCCTTCCTCCCTTTCTATCTTTTCCTTCCTCTCCTCCCTCCCTCCTCCTCTTCATTCCTTCCTGGCATGGCATTAGTTTCTTTAAGCCTGCGGTGGTCATGCCACGGTCCCAGACCCTCCAAACCAGCTTCAAGCCAGCCTGCGGTCAATACTGGCAACCTTCAACGCAGAGGACGCCTTCGGAGGCAGTGGGTCCACCCTCCCACTCACTGACAGAGGGTGCAGGAATCCCACCAGTGTATCCCACTGCCCCATCTACGGGAGACTGGTCCTTTTCGAAACATACCAGTGTTTGCAACGGAGGGTAGGAAGGCTACTACTCAACCCCCCCAAGCACCAGCCTTCTGCCCAGCAGGGGAATGCTAAGGAAGGGGAAGGTGCCTAAGAGGTCAGGGGAAGCAAGAAGGTCTGCTAATGAGCGGTTTGAACCCAGGCCCTCCTGGAAACCGTGGTTTACGGGACCGCACGTGAGTGGATCTGCCCCAGCGGCAGGCACCCCCGGGTCCTTCCCATTCTCATGGGACTTCTGCAGAAGGACGAAACCGCAGAGCAGAAACCCAGCCTGGCTGCCCGACGGTGCTGGTGGCATCTGCTCAGCACCCCTCTGTCCGTCCTCCCCGAAGCCCTCCTGGAAGAGAGGCAGAGTTCAGCTCACGGCCGCTGCCACTTCCTCCGGCCGCCTCCTCTTCCTCCTCCTCCTCCTCCTCCTCCGGCGCTTCCTCTGGGTCAATGACGTCTTGGGCGTTGCCGCCTTGCGCGGCTTTCTTGGGCTCTCTTTTCCGGTTTGCCTTACACCCTACATTGTTTGCTGCCGCTTTCTCATCTGCCAGGAGACAAAGAAAAATAAGTATTTTGCCCATTGTGTGTGTGTGTGTGTGTGTGTGTGTGTGTGGTTGCTTTCTCTATAAAAACACCAGAGGAGTGTTGTGGGAGCAACAACAGCACCACTGGACTGGAAGAGGAAACGGTGTGAGCCTTAGCAGCTTGTTTTGAAACCCTGGAAATAACGTCGATATCAATTTGGCCCCGGCCACTCTGCATTGCTTTCCCTGGCCAGGCTTCCATCCACACCAACAAACCCTGGGCCAACACAGCCACACTCGCGCAGAACCCTTTTCCTGCCGCCAGAAGTTTGCAACACGGGGCGGTTCGCTTTTGTGTTTTCATGAAAAAGAAAACGTACTTGGCTTTTTTTCACCCTTATTGGCACCAAATCTGCTTTCCTTCTTCATTTTGATTTGGTGTCCTTTCCATCCCACTTTTGTTTTCTTCGGCGAGCCGTTCCTCTCTGCAGGCAGAAATGCCTCCGATGGCTCCCTGAGAAAACCACACAAGCACATGGTGGATTCCCCCTCAGTAAGGTGGGTGAAAAACGCCCCTTCTTGCATCTTTTTTATTAGGTATAATGCCAGAAAAGACTAACAAACAAAGCTTATATACATATAAGGAACGGTTGCTGGAATTGGGTATGTCCAGTTTAACGAAGAGAAGGACGAGGGGGGACATGATAGCAGCCTTCCAATATCTCAGGGGCTGCCCCAAAGAAGAGGGAGTCAAGCTCTTCTCCAAGGCGCCTGAAGGCAGGACGAGAAGCAACCGATGGAAACTGATCAAGGAGAGAAGCAACCTAGAACTAAGGAGAAACTTCCTGACAGTTAGAACAATTAACCAGTGGAACCACCTGCCTCCAGAAGCGGTGAATGCTCCAACACTGGAAGTTTTTAAGAAGAGACTGGACAGCCATTTGTCCGAAATGGTGTAGGGTTTCCTGCCTGAGCAGGGGGTTGGACTAGATGACCTCCAAGGTCCCTTCCAACTTTATTATTATTATATTTGATTTTGCATGTCACAACAGCGGCAAGAATTATATTTGCGCAATACTGGAAAAAGGAAGGAATACCATCAGATGAAGAAATAATTAAAAAAATACTAGAATGCGCAGAGATGGATAGACTGACTATGAGACTGAAAGAAAAGAAGAAGAAACGGAATATTATCAAACTTGGGACTTATTTTATTGACGGCTAGAGGAAAGAATAAAGGATTAGGAATTAAATGTGTATTAGTGAATGTAAACTCAGACAGCACATTTGTTGAAAAAATATTACTGAATGTATGGGGGGGGGGGAAACCAATAAAAACTCTTACAAAAAAAAAAGAAAGCATCTAGAACTAAGGAGAAACTTCCTGACAGTGAGAACAATTAACCAGTGGAACAACCTGCCTCCAGAAGTGGTGAATGCTCCATCACTGGAAGTTTTTAAGAAGAGATTGGACAGCCATTTGTCTGAAATGGTGTAGGGTTTCCTGCCTGAGCGGGGGGTTGGACTAGATGATCTCCAAGGTCCCTTCCAACTTTATTATTATTATTATTATTATTATTATTATTATTATTATTATTATTATTACTACTACTACTACTACTACTATTATTATTATTATTATTATTATTATTATCATCATCATCATCATCATCATCATTATTATCATCATCATCATCATCATCATCTTAGGATCTATGGCACTTACAAGGTGACTGACAAGCACATTCTGGAGCGCATAACGGCAGACGTGTCACCGGAAGGCAGAATCACGAAACTGCGTCTCACTTACTTTGCCCCACGTCGTGTGGGGGAATTTACTGGAGAAAGCAATTATGCTTGGAAGAGAGAGAACAGTAAAAGGAAAGCAGGCCTTCGAAGAATGCGATGGCCGGACACCCTCAAAGCTGACCCCAGCCAGAGCGTAGAAAAACTCAAAGAAGCAGCGCAAGATAGGATGACGTGGAAAGGCCCGGCCCTGAGAATCGCCAGGAGTCGGACACGTCATTAGGAGAGGCAAAATGATGTAGAGGCTGAACGGTGCATTACGACTTTACCCAGCCTACGGAGACTCCCTGGATGACTTTTGTCAATCCCTATCCCTTAGCCTGCCTTGTGGCATTATTACTGAGAGTGATTGGAGAAAAGAGGGCTATGCAGGTCAACCTCGGCATCCGGAAGAGAGAAAAAAAATGGATATAATAACTAAGCAAACACACAAAGGGGCCAGTC